TTTGGATGATACACTAGAACATGGAATCTAATATAATGGAATAAGATGTAGACATAGACTTTGGAAAGGACTGAAGGCCAAGTCTTGGGTGGGAAGGGCTGGGGGAAGAGTCTCATTAGGAAACAGATTCTCAGTTCCATAATTTAATCAAGAGAGCCATTCCTAGAACAGAAAGCAGTAGGTAGCTGTTAGGAGAGAGAAGCAGGTTTGAAAGAATGTGGTTCTCCCTTTCCCCCCCCCAAAATTACTATGGTTGTCAGGTATTTCAGGACTGTGTTTTCTCCAGAAGGTCGTCTTTGCAGGTTGAACCTAAAGGAGAAACAGGCAACAGCTTTCTTCTTGGATAGCCAAGATGTTTTCAGCTCAGTATCCTGGGATGCGCCAGCAAAGCTCCGATCCATAAAGTGAAATCTGTACAGCCCTGGTGTTGTACAGTTCTACCTACATGTGGACGTTCCTCCAGACAAGCATCAAAGGGTGAAATGTGAGGAACAAAGATGCTTCGTCTCAACAATTTGCTTCTACAGGGGCAAGTTTCCAGTATCTAGCTAGTGGCATCCATTCATCGGCAAGTGATGGTGGACATTGCAGCTATTCTACTGACTGGGGGTGCCTTCTCTTATGGCTGTAGACACCACTGTTAGACTTGCAGGTCTTGCCACAGCAGTCACATGTGTACGTGGCTTTAGTGGCTACTGTACTGACAGGCCGTTTCCTTCGGTCACGCTTCTGGTGTAATTCAAATGACCGTTTCTCATTATGATGTTGGACTCCATATTAAGAAGAGAGTGCCACTTTGTCCCATCTCCTGCCAAGGCCTCCCAAAGGTTTGGGTCGATTCCAAAAGCCTTCATATCCTGCTTGCAGGATGTGTTTAAAGCGAAATTTCAGGCACCCAACTCTTCTCTCCTCACCTGCAACTTGCCCATACAGGATGTCCTTTGGGATGCGCCCATCATCCATCCTGCAGAGATGGCCAAACCAGCGTAGGCACTGCTGTTTGAGTAGTGCAGTGATGGTGGGCAGGTTGGCTTTCGTGATGACCTCTGTGTTGGCAATTCTGTCTTGCCACTTGATGTCAAGGATGCATGCACTATAAGCAGCATAGGTGGATGCTGTTTAGCTTCTTTTTTTGATATGCCTATGCTGACCATGTCTCACTGCTATACATAAGGACGCTGAGGACGCAGGCTTCGTACCCAAGCAGTTTAGTTTTGATTGTGAGTTTTGCATTGTTCCAGACTCGTTTGGAAAGCTTACTGAAAGTGGTAGCAGCCTCTCCAATGTGCACATTTAGCTATTCATCTAGTGATAGGTTGTTGCTCACTGTGGATCCAAGGTAGCAGAACTTGTTCGCTGTCTCAAGAGGTGTGTTGTCAAAGCTGATAGATGGTGACTGGAGAACACCCTATGCTAGGACCACAATCATCTTGATGCTGATGATCAGGGCAATCATCCTGCAAATATGGGAGGGGCAATTCATGAGTATACATAGTTGGCTTTCATGGGTGGTGAGTGCAGCATCAGCAGCAAAGAGGAGCTCCCAAATGAACATGTGCTTCACTTTTGTCTTGGCTTTTAGATATGATGGATCGCAGGGTCTGCCATCTGATCTTGTGTGAAGGTACATGCCTTCCTCCAAGCCATCAAAAGCACAGTGGAGCAGCAAAGAGAAGATCCCAGTGTGTGAGCGTCAGAACACAACCCTGCTTCATTCAACTCTTCATCTTGAACCTGTCAGAGTATCTAGCACCTGCCATGAAATAGGGAAGATTACAAAGGACTCTTGGGAGGAATCTGAAGAAAGCCACATCCGTCTGGAAGGTGACTTAGGGCTCGCTTCTTCTGAAACCAGTGTTTTGAGGACTTTCCTCGCTGTTGTGACTGCGATCAGAAAGCATGGAAAGGACAAACAGGGGCTTCAATACCATTGGTTCAAAAGGATGGGTCATCTGAGCATCTGTCTCAATGGGATGCCATGGGGTAGGTTAGGCCGTCAGCTTGGACAGATGTGCCATCCGAGGGAAAGCCGATTTGCTACCAACATGGCTACACTGGAGTTTGATGCTAACGAAATGGTTTGATGTGCAACATTGTGGGAGTCCAGAAGCCAGGAGGGGACGTCCAGGAGAGCGGGAGTCTTTCTCCCGCAATTTGGGGGTTAGTAGAGCCCCATACAAAAGCTGCACCTGGCTGAGGAATATACTGGATGATGGACACAGCACAATCACAGGACTGAAGAATTGGGACGTGGGGGTGGAAAAAAACAACTTGCTCCTATCTCTTACTGTCCAGAGCTGCGTCCCCTTCCGTGCATGCCATAAGCCAGGGGTTCCCAAACTGTGGGTTGTGACCTCACATGGGGTCGCAATATCAGCGGATGGGGTCACAGGGGTGGGGAGTGAAGGGCCATGCTGAGGAAAAGTTTGGGAAGCACTGCCATAAACCTAAGTTAACAGTCGATATCTTTACTAAAAGGAAAGAAGAAATCTTGGCCATTACCACCTGAGAGCAAGTCTAAGGTCACTTGTTAGTGTAACCTGGAAGGTCTCTAAACAGGTTAAAAATAACTAGGGGTAGGGACAAGAAACAGTACTGATTTACAGAAGAAGGTGTTACGTGAAACTGGAATGCACTTCAAAACGATGCCTTGGCTCTGCAGTGCAATCTGTCTGCTGAAGCCCAGGCCTGTGACTGCAGGTCTGAGCCTGGGGGAGAAGGGGCTCAGACAGGGCCTAGGTGTGCTTCAGTGAAGAAACTGGTTTGACGGCTCAGTTAATTCTGCAGCTGCCACGTACAGAGGCAAAAGCATAGCAGTCAGGAAACTCCAAGCAGTGGTTTCTAGAACAGCATAGGGAAGAATACACTATGTATTTTGTATTGGTAGTGACCATCTACCATGACCACTGGAGTCCTGTGTCCAGTTTTGGGCTCCCCACTACAGGAAGGACGTGAACAAGTTGGAGAGTCCAGCGAAGGGCAATACAAATGGTTTGGTGGCTGAGGCACATGACTTGTGAGGACAGGCTGAGGGAACTGGGCTTATTTAGTCTGCAAAAGAGAAGACAGAGGGGATTTGACAGTAGCCTTTAGGTACCTGAAGGGTGGTTACAAAGAGGATGGAGTTGGACTGTTCTCAGTGGTGGCAGATGACGGAACAAGGAGCAATGGGTTCAAGCTGCAGCAAGGGAAGTTGAGGTTGGATATTAGGAAAAACTCACTAGAAGGGTAGTAAAACACTGGAACGGGTTACTTAGAGAGGTGGTGGTGGTATCTCCATCCTTGGATATGATCCTACTTGGAGCAGGGGGTTGGACTAGATGACCTCCGGAGGTCCCTTCCAAACCTCTTGTTCTACAAATCTATAATTTTATGATTTTCTCTGCCATGTCACCGAAACATCCTATAGTGATTTAGGGGCTACATGTAAAAAGGATTCCTGAGCCAGCACGCAACTGCTGGCCATGCAGAACATGGAAAGCACCTGGCATAGGTATCAATACAGAACAGGCTTTCAAAAAGGGAAGGGAAGAGGGACATCTCCAACTGGAATTCAAGAGAAAGTTTAGGGAAGCAGAATTGAACTGTTCGGGCTGAATTTTGTTAGGACCCTGGGGTTCAGGACAAAAATTGATGGAGGTTCTTCCTTGTATTCATTCCCGCTACAATGAACTCACAACTTCCCAGCAAGTTGCTGTGGGTTTTATATTCCACACTCCCTAATCCTCAAGGAATGTTTGCTTCCAAAATGCAGACTAACAGAGGAAATCAACCAACCCCGGTGGTAAAACACTGGATCTGATTATGCATTGTTCTGTTAAATGACACAACGCACACTCCTAAATGGTAAAAAAAACCCAAAAAACAACAACCCACCCACTAAATATAACACTATCCCCTCTCATAAGCACCAGGCATCTTTAAAAGGTCCTTCTAACAATTGGTAACAAGCTTTCAGAAATAGTTTTAGATGAATGCACCCGTTACTCGTCCTAATACTCCTACTATTGATAACACTAAACCAAGCTTTTTAATGACCACAGTAGATGAGAATTTTAGTCTCCTATGATTCAAAATGCTGTATCTGCCACCAGAGCATACCAGGCCCCATGAGATGGGGCCCTGGATTTATGAAGGAGAGGGTCTAACACTCAATACCTAAACCAAATTGCCAACACCCCCTTCCTAAACACTTTCTGGGAGGTCTTCCATTCGCTTACTGACCAGGTCCAATCCTGCTAGACTTGAAAGCTTTAACACGCAGCTATATTGGCAGACAACAAAGCCCAGGCCTCTCAAGATCAGCTAACACCACAGCATTCAACCTCCACAAGGCTGTGGACTCTGTATTCTGCTACCAGCCAACTACATGACCCTTCAGTGAGCCACGGAACTCCTCTCTGCCTCGTGTCTCCCCATCTGTGAAATGGGTCTAATTATTTAAGGACTCACCGCCTTCAGGAAGCTCTAAAGATTGAAAGCATGAAAGGGTCACTAACCATGAATAGGACCTCCGTCCCCTCTTCCCGGTGTGATCCTCCCAGTGCAATCAACCAATAAAAGCCTCCTGAAAGGAAACAGAAAAGGAAATGCAGTTACGGCCACGGCAACAGCAAGTTGACATGCTGGCTCCCTAACACCCTTCCCAACCGCGCCGTTAACTAAGAGGCCAAAGTTCAGGGCCCTTACCTTGCATCCTGGCTAGCAGACAGTTCTGCTCTCTACAATGCTAGGCCCTCAGCCCACACTAAACACAGCATGGACTAAGGAGCAAAACGCCTGGGGTCTTCGCTATTTAATCATGTTTGTATCTCCTTGCATGTTATGGTAGCACAAGGCCTGAAACCACTATGTACAACCCCATTTCACATCATTTTTTCCCCCTCTCCTCCCTTTCAGAAAGAAGTTCCTCAAGAGCTCACACCAGACTCTGGGAGCTGTTTGTCTTATTGAGAAGGCAATACTGATATACGGAGCTTGAAAACACTTGAAGATCTTAACATGATGAAAGCACGCCGAAAAGGATTCTTCCCTAAACGTGCATACTGCATCCCTCTCCTCTGGGTCTGTATTGCACTGTACTATCAATGTGGTTGCAGCCTGTTCCCATTGGACGCATAAGCCAGTGAGAGCGAGCTCGCAGACAGCAGGAAGGATTTAAGAAAGGTACCTACATGTGCTTCCAATACCCGAGTTCATTTTCTGAGCACCAGGATTAGGCACCAGAGCCATTCAGCCCCTTTTAAAGAAGAGAGGCTGAGCTGACTTTTCAGAAGTGCTTAGAGATATAGGACCTTGCCTCCTGTTTTTCATTGCTGGGTGGTACATTCATGCTGACAGCTCCATCTGCATCGCAAGGTCATTCTCATGGAAATGTGAACAGGGCCTTGAGCTCAGGACCAAGGGGGAGAATCTCTCAGTACCAGCTTGGATTTCTAATGGTGGCTGAGACAATTACATCCCTGGTAAGACTCAAGAGACGAAAGATATGCCCAGATGTTTTTTGGGAGGCCCGCTGCACCACGCAAGATACCACCTCAGTCACTACAGGGTTTACTTCTGCCGTGGAAGAGCTAAAAGTACTTACTCAGCTGCCTCTGCCATGGACAGGCCAAGGTAAGGACACAGGCACTAGGACTGATAAACCTCAGTGGAGAAATGCCAGTTCCAAGCCTGAAGGAGGTGGCCAACAGGGGCCAGCTCTTACAGAGAGGGCCCTGCTCAAGAATGCCTCCAAGCAGCTGACTGACAAGTGCCCTCCATCTCCCTTCCAGGGAAGATCACCAAGAATACTGGCCTGGACAACAGGCACTGTCAGAGTGCTCCATCACCCTTCGTGCACAGGTCTGTCTGTTTTTAAGCCATCTGTTTATTGAGACAATGATCTTGTTCTGGCTACAAATAAAAATCAAGCATCCATCTTTCACACCTGCCCGTCAAGCTGCCCCGACTGCTGCAGGCAAGAGACCTACCAAGACAGACAAGGATGGACCCATGTGCTTGCTGGCTCCATTTCCAGGCCCTGAGAATGGCACGGTGCAACAGATTGTGCACCCTGACAGACCCCCAGCATGGGGTCACTGCACAGTTCAAATTCATCAAATTCTCCCTGCAGCGTGGGAGGCTACTGGAGGGGTGAGGCATCGTGGGCTACAATGGCTTCAGTATACGCGTGTCACAGCTGTACGTGTTTACTTCATCAGGCTCAATGATCAGTTTTCCTGGCAGCCAGCCGAGGTCAGGTTTCTGGATGACAGCGAGCTGAGCTAAGCTCACTCGAGACAAAGCAGAGGTTCACCACGTGGGGAAACAACCGGAAAAACTGAGGGTAGCAACATCTGCTCCTTCAGTATGGGAGGATGCCTGTTCTTGGTTATGTTGGTCACTCCGAGGGGGCGAGGGGTCTGGCAGGAGCCGTGGCTGCCTCTGGATGGCCATAGAGCAGCCCAGGCCGAGTGTGCTGTGCTCCATCTATTCTTGGAGCCTTGATTTTCTAGTGGATGTTACAAGCATCTGGATTTCTCCCCAGCTGGGAAGCCAAAGAAAGCAACCCCAACAGAAACCTGCTACTCACGACAGTATGCTGCAGGCTTCTGTGTTTCTTCCACCCATGGAATCGTAATAGGTGATGGTTTTTTTCCTGAAGTCTACAACCTGTGAAGAGAGAGGCTTGTGAGACAGTAAACAAGGAAACCGATTCTTTGGGGGGTGTTCTGCAAATCTAAAGCCAAGCTCCTATAAAAGAAGAAATCTAATCCATCGGCTCAGTTTTCCCTAGTGACATGCAGAATTTTCTGAGGACTCTGGTACTCCTACAGCCCCCCATCACTGAATAGCGTTTAATGCAATTTTTTCTCCCTCCCTTACATAGGGCCGTGCTGAGTGAGCAACATAGCAAAGAAAGTCTAAATGACTTCCTCACGATGACATGGGAAGTCTGAGCACATCTCCTTAGTTCCATTCTAGGCACTGTCCCATCCTTTTTCTCCGCTACTACTCTACTCAGCCCTGCTCTTCGATTACCAACCTCTATTGCTATCATAAGGTACAAAAGCAGCTGATAAATTCTGCACTCCCTGCCACTTCTCCACACTGTTTGGGTACTGGAGAACCCCAAATAGCAGCTACTATGCTAGGACTGCTGAGAGAGATTCATCTAGTTTTGCTGTTGATGATCACCTGCAGCTTTGCTGTTTTACTGTGCTGCTTTGATCAGACAGCTTTAGACGGGTGTTACATCATGAAGGTGACAGAGCTCCGCGATTGTAAGCTGGACAGCAAAACAGTGCTACCGGAAGTGATAGGTTAAGATCCCAGCCTGACCTTGGAGCCTAAGATGAGTTTTGCAGAACTGGTAGAAGGGAAAAGGAGATCTCAACTCATGGAATAAGCAAGTCTGACATGAATCCTAGCAGGTCCTTTGCCCTCTTTCCCCCCCCTCACAAACAGAGCAACTTTTTAGGGTAGAACCACTTATTAAGAAAACACACACATATTGCCAGCTCATTTCAGAATTGCAGATCTTTGGCCACAGACACTGACTTCTGTACAGGTCTGCCTAGCATGTGCATTGCATACAACTGTAAGGATGATTTAGGGTGAAACAACTGAATCCAACTGGATCATAGACATACACAGGAGGGACACTAGCCCACCAACTGTTAGAGCAGTCTTAGTGAAGGGGCACTTGGAGGGGCTGGATGTGTTCAAATCAGCAGGCCCAGATGAACTTCATCCAAGGATGCTGAAGGAATTGGCCAGTGTTATACCAGAGCTGCTGGCACGGCTGTTCGAGCACTCATGGTGCCATGTATCATCTACATGGGAGTCAGGTCCCAGAGGACTGGAAAAGGGCCGATGCGGTCCCTATTTTCAAGAAGGGAAGGAGAAACTGGCACACTATAGGTCAGTTAGTCTCACCTCTATCCTTGGGAAAACTCTGGAAAATATCATTAAGGATCACATTTGTGGGAGCCCAGCAGAGGAAATAATGCTGAAAGAAAATCAGCACGGATTCATTGCAGGTAGATCCAGCCTGACTAACCTTGTTTCTTTTTATGACCAGGTCACAAAATGCTTGGATGCAGGAGTCGAGGTAGATGTCATCTACCTACACTTTAAGAAGGCCTTCGATACGGTATCTCATTCTGTTCTCATAAAAAAAACTGACAGGCTGTGATGTAGATGATTACGCGGTCAGGTGGGTGGCAAATTGGCTTAGGGGTCACACCCAGAGAGTGGTGGTGGACAGGTCAATACTGACCTGGAAAGATGTGGGCAGTGGAGTCCCGCAATAGTTGGTCCTTGGACTGGTGCTACTCAATGTCTTTATCAGTGACTTGGTCGAGGGCGTGGGGAGCACACTGTCCAAGTTCGCAGATGATACCAAAATATGGGGCAAAGTTAACACACCAGAGGGTAAGGAACGGATCCAGGCGGATCTGGACGGGTTGGAAAAATGGGCAGAACGAAATAGGAGGCAGTTCAACAAAGACAAGTACAAAGTGCTGCACCTGGGCAAAAAGAACCACCACCACACTTGCAGGCTGGGGAAGGACCTTCTCAGCAGCACAGCAGTGGAAAGGGATCTTGAAGTCATAGCCGACTCCAAGACGAATGTGAGTCGTCAATGTGACAAAGTGATCAACAAGGCTAACCGCACTTTATCATGCATTAGCAGATGCATGACAAACAGGTCCAAGGAGGCGATGCTTCCCTTCTACGCGGCATTGGTCAGTTGGAGTACTGCGTCCAGTTTAGGGTGCTGCACTTCAAGACGGATGCAGAGAATCTTGAGAGGGTCCAAAGGAGGCCACTCGTATGGTCAGAGGCCTGCAGGCAAGGCCCTACGAGGAGAGACTGAGGGACCTAGATCTCTTCAGCCTTCTCAAGACAAGGCTGAGAAGTGATTTTGTGGCTGCTTATAAATTCATCAGGGGAGGGCAGCAGGGAATAGGAGATGCTCTATTTACTAGGGCACCCCCAGGAGTAACTAGGAACAATGGCCATACATATATGGAGAGCAGATTTAGGTTGGACATCAGAAAGAACTTCTTCACAGTAAGGGCTGCCAGAATCTGGAATGGGCTTCCAAGGGAGGTGGTGCTCTCCCCTACTCTGGGGGTCTTTAAGAGGAGACGGGACAAGCACCTAGCTGGGGTCGTCTGACTCCAGCGCTCTTTCCTGCCCAGAGCAGGGGGGTTGGACTCAGTGACCTACTGAGGTCCCTTCTGACCCCAACATCTATGAATCTATGAACTCGTGCTGCTATCCATTTCAGTTACCCAAAGGTTTAACACCACTTTAACAACAAAACACTTACGGCTAGACACCAATGGACTCCAAGATGAATAGGCACCAAGAGAATGTCCACAGAGAAGATATCCACTTTCTTAGTCCACCGTTTCACAGCTTGGTACCCAGCAGTCTTTAATTTGGTAAAAAAGAAGGTGTTGAATGCATGAACTGTTGGTAACCCCTTTTCTTTGCTTCGCTCCATCAGCAAATTCATGTAGAAATTTATTATCTGGAAAGGAAAAAAGCCCCCCACACATGTAATAGTGTTTTTGTTGGGCAACCTTGCAAAGAGAATTGCTTGCCCTGCCCTCAAAACAAAATAACTTTTTTTTTTTATTAAAAAAGAAAAAAAATCTTGTACTTTGCTTAAATTTTTACACATGAGTAACAAAGGCAATGGTATCTAGTATGGTTCAGCTTTTGAAAGGCCCACCTGCTAAAAAGCCAAAGCCAATGAATGAGGAATTTAGTTTTAAACACTCAGGATTCGGCAGTTTTGACTCTAATCATTTCTGCTGCTCTTCTAGCTGCCATAGAGGTGGTTCAGTATGTTAGTCTGAAGCCAAGCAGAAGATTGCACAGAGGGCATCTGACAGCAGATTGTTGCCCATGAAAGCTCATGCCTCTCTGAACCAGTTAATCAGAAGAGGTCACCTTGTCCAACCCCTTGCCCGAAGCAGGACCATCCCTTTCCAAGCCATCCTCTACAAATCCATAACTTAAGCTCTTTGTAAAACTACTGTTAACCCGGACGCAACACAGGACCTCACACCCTAACCCGCCACAGGTAAAGCAGGTGAACCACGGCAGCCAATGTCCTGCTTCTGTAAAAGGTTGTTAAGTTAGGCTCTAGAGATGCCAGGTAGAGGGCCATGCCCCCCCAGAACAGAGGCAGTCAGAAGCCCCCCCCCCCCGAGCTTGTACCAATCTGACTTTGTGGTAAACTTCCTTGCTGACCCTAAATATGGTGATTGGTCTGACACCGAGCAAAGGGGCAAGATCCTCTAGCCAGGAACCTCTGCCCTGCCTAGACATCGTAGGTGATTATCCCATAAATTAAGCCCCCCTCCAACCCCTTCCGAAAAAAAAAGAATAAGCCCTGCCTTGGTACTTTAGTCACTCTTGGCCCAGGCCCTCCATTCTCAGAAGAAAGAGGAAGAGGTTTATTCACTTCAACCTGCTACCCAGAGTGCTTCCCTTGGTAAAGGAAGTAACCTGGCGTTACCTCGTCATTAAGCCAGTTCAGGTGGTTGAGGGTCTGAATGTCTTTCCGAGTGATTGTTAACCGAAAAGCCTCACTCAGGACCTCGTCCTGGTTCCCGCCGCGGAAGACACTCCTTATTTCCTTCTCCATTTCCTACAGAGAAACAGTAGCATCGTGAACAGGAAGGAGAGTTGCTATTTCAATCATGTAGCCTGCACTCAAGACCAGATTAACTCCCTGAACAAGAAAGAACTAGTTCCCACCTGATGGGATGACTGATTTTGTGGCAGCACAACAAAGATCCTGAATGCTGCCTAATGCTAGGTTGAAAACAATTGCCTTTGAGAACATGCAACCCCTTGGGGAAGGCTGAATCATGGAGGCTTAAAGCTAAAGACAAGTCCACAGGCATCTCTGCGAATTGAGCAACAGGATCACTGTAACAACAGGAGGAAGTCTGAGCTGCTCACTTGTTCAGTTCATTGGAACAATACCAAACAGGTTGGAAGCAATGACAACAAGAACAAAAACAAGGAAGAGGCTCTCCTTGCCGATACCTCTTTCTTCGGGATTTGTAGTTTTTAAAAGCTGAAAAGGACCATTACAATTTCATCCAGGGGTGCTCAACCATCAGCCTGCAGGCCAGATCCAACCCATGCTACAATGTCCTCCAACCCATGGGGCATCCCATAGGTCCAGAAATTCGGTGGTGGTGGAACCAACAACACTCCCCTGCTTCCAAATCTCTAAACGCACAGAGCCCCAGGACCTCTGTGCTGGATCTGGTGCCTGATAGCTGCATGCAGGGCTCGGCAGGGGCAGCATGGGGCCCCAGGGTCAATCCTGGTGGGGACTGGGAGCGGGCAGTGCCAAGCCCCTGGGACCCAATCCCATCATGTGGGGGGTGTGATTCTGGGCCCCCAAGGACCAATCCTGGTACACTTGGGGGTGGGAGGGTGAAAGAGTAAAGGGCCCTAGGGTCTTATCCAGCTCCACACTACTCATCTGGCCCACAGGGTCACAAGTTGAGCATTGCTGATCTGGTCCAAACCTCCGGTCTAACACAGGCCAGAGGACTTCTGTCAGCAAGTCCCGTGTCAAGCCAAAAACTCCTCTGGGAAATGCAGCATATTTTTCCAAAGCTCCAGATTTGATGGGTTTCATGGGAACCTTCACTATACCGATTTTCCTTTCTTCACCAAGACATCTTGCACTTAATTCCCACCTCTACCAGACCTTCTCCAAAACCTGTGAAAGGCCACCTGCAGTGATTGCCTGTGCAGATTTACCTCTGTGATCTCAGGGAATTCCTTCTCATTATCAGCTGACTTGGTGTCCTCTTTAACTGTGACTGGGATTTCTTTCTCAAGAGGCACTCGAAGATGCAAGTCCACCTGTTCCTGCACCGAGTGTTCCTGCTCCTGCAATCTCTGGAAGAGAGGTCTCATTACATTAGAATGACAGCACTCACCATCGAGCAGACTGACCCCTGTACAGTTCCTGACATGCTTCTGCCCTCTTGTACAATTTAAGGTAACATCTCCTTATCATTGCTTCAGATCCCAAGGACTAGAGGTTGCTGCACAGGCCTAGATGTCACTCACCTGGCTCTGTAGCTGCAAGGCCAAAGCTTTCTGCTCTTCTATCTGTCGTAACCTCTCCCGGGCTCGTGAATCATAGACGCTGGTTCTGGAAAAGCCAAGGAGTTTGGAACAGAAGAGTGCTTAAATACTTTAGGGGTTAATGAGGAGGAAGGAGAAAGGAAGACAGATCAGGTGAAGCCACTGAAACCCAATGGGTGAAATCCTTGGTAGATCAATCAATGTGCCCAACACCAGACATGTTCAGCTGGCACACAGCTCTGCTGCCAGTGGAGATGCAGCACCGTCATTTGCATTTGCTTACTTGATTTCTGGTGGCAAAGACACCCAAGCCCTGTGGGCGGAACTTCCCCACATCATAGAGCAACAGGGCAAAAAAAATGACTCTCAATGAACAGCCATGTTGTCTCCCTCCAGCCCTAAGACATCCAGTGTTGGGGACCCTAACCAGGCAAACCAGCCCGGATAACTACCTAGGCAGCTATACCTCGAGTCACTGACTAACAAGCTCTGCCCCCGTTTAGAAACTGGGGTAGTCCACTTTGGCTCAGCTGTAGCCATAGGCTTCCACGCCAGCCAACCGTTCTCAGTCTGCTGTCGCAAGCCTCCTGTGCTATGGTTTTGTGCCTGACAGCCTGGGCCAAGAAAGTGTTACTATAGCAAATCACCTGCAGTTTAATCCTGTACAGTGCTGAGCGCTCAAAAACATGCCTGTCTGACTTGACAGCATGCAAATATTTCTGCTGGGCTGAGGGTGTGTGCATTACATAGCTTCCTATTTGATTCACAGATATCCCCTGGCAGTAGTCTGTAGGCAGCTTAAGGGAATCTTGTGGAAGGAGGCAGAAAAGGAGCAGCACTCCTCAGAGTTTATACCAAGCTTAAGGGACCGCAATGGGGAAAGCACTGAAGTGCTTAAGGAATAAGCCTGGTAGAGAGACAGTTACCGATGTGACAGTAGATCCAACAGACTGGGACGAGCTAAACTGCAGTGGGCCTAAGAGGCAAGGACAAGAAGCCAGTAGAGGACGGATCCAAGACAGAGCTGAGGAGAGGTTCAAAGATGGAGAGAATATAACTGAAGTGCAAAGGCAGGGGGGTGGATTTGTGAGGCACGATTCTTATGGCAAGCAAAGCTAAAGCATGCAAGCAGAGGAAGGAGGTAGGACCTCAGAGCCTGGGTGAGAACCTGGCCATCTGGACAGAGATAGGGGCTGGATTTACAAAGCTATTTAGATTTCTGAAGACAGAGATGTGCTTTTATAAGTCATGCTGGAACAGAGCACCTAAAATACTTTTATAAGCCGGTCTCTGGGTCTTAAGGCATTTGCTGATCTTCTGAATAAACAGCACATCAAGGCAAATATAAAAATAAATTGAAATATTATAAACATGGAAAACTTACAATTCTTTAATCCACAACTCTGCCTGGAAGAAGGGAGGGCTAAAAGAAAGGAAACAAGACAAGTGTAAACTTCACCATCTGCATAGGCCTTGATTGTTTTAATTGCTCACAAAACGAAGAATTGAGCAGAGAACAACATTGTCCTTGGAGAAAGTCAAAATATTAAGGTGAAATCTTTAATATTAAGGTAGAGTGGAGTGCATGCATCTCTAACCAAAAAATCATAAGTAGAAAAAAAAAGTTTGGCATAAATAACTTGTTACAGCATCATACAAGTATCCATAAGCACAGGAGTTCACATACACTATTACATCCTGAACTCTCTTAGAAATCAAAGAATTAGAAGTAGGGCTTGTAAGGGACCTCCAGGGGTCACATCTAGTCCAAACCCCTACCTGAGGCAGAATCAGCCCTGTCCAAAGCCTCCCAGACTAATCCATTGTCTAACCTGTTAGCAAAACTACACAGTCGACCCTGACAGCCACAAGTCATATCACCCTCACCTGAGACAGGTAAAAGAGAGGTCCAACAGTGGCTAACGTCCTGCTGCTACAAAGATCGATAAAATATGCTCAAGAGGTCCAAGAAAGCCATGACGCCCACTACAAAGGAAGGCAAGCACAGCCCCCAGTCCATACCAATCTGATCATGGGGTAAAATTACTTCCTGATGCCACATATTGCAACTGATCTGACCCTGAGCGGAGGGGCAAGACCTTTTAGCCAGAAACCTCTGGGCTTAAGTCCCAGCAGGAGCAATGGCACACCCAGTCAAAATCCCCAGGCTTGACTGCACTCAACACCCAATGCTTCCTCTTTTAATGTGAAGAATATTGTGTTATTCTTCACAACAACATTGTGAAAAAACGCTATTTGTGGATACCTTAGGCAGAAGAGCTGCTGAGAGAACCAGGAGGCTAACAGAACTGCTCTGTGTGTCACCTCTGGAAATCCCAGCACTGGAGTCTTCAATTGAAAAGGGACATCAGGAAAAATGAAAGGGATGGGCCATGCAATACCAAGGTGAGACAGAGCATGGAAGTTGGGACTCCAAATCTACAGAATCCAGGCAAAATGGACATGTCACAGAACCACACCAAGGGAAGTTGTCCAGTAAAGGAAGGGAACTGATCACAAGCCCAGACACCTACCAGACAAGAAAGACCTCAGCTAAGGAGCAGGGGGTGTTTAGATTAGATACTGGCATACAGTCCTAATACAGCAACTGGGCAGAGAGCCTTTCATGGGATACGCTCAATGTATCCTCATTTCAGGGACATGCTCTGTTAGGGGGAGTGATAGAGAAATGTACCCAACATGCAAGTTATTGGAATAGAAGACAATCAATCCCAAACAATCCATGTGTGGGGTACAAGCAAGTCAACCCTTTGGAACAAAGAGAGTGCCTAGTTAACCCCAGAGAGTGAGAGACACTTCAGTGCATACAGGAAAAGCTGTACTTGTTCACGCTGTACAAACCTACCTCAGCGCTGGAGTTCTGGGATCTTTTACCTTGAGCAAGATGACGGAGTCTGAGCCTACGGAAAACAGAATTAAAACACTCAAAGCCTCGCAGTTTTTGCTGCAGTCCCTACAAATCTTAGTAACCATTCTCCACATTAGGGTTTCACTTCACTTTCACCTGCCCTCCATTAAAATCTTCATCCTGGGATTGGCGAAATCTAAGGGAATTCGGTACCTAAGTTCCATATACTATGGGTGCCCAATTCCTTTAAGCAGCTCAGCTCATAAAGTGTGTTAAGTGGCAGATCATAAAATCATCCTCACTTGAATTTTGTTTGGTGCATCGAAACACCAGCTGTGTTTGAAGCCACAAAAAATAACTTGGAAATAATAAATTCATCAAATTGGCACTAGGTTCAAGCTGATCACACTTATTTTTACCTTCTGACTGAGTGTTAGATGCTGGTAAATTGTCTTGCTGATGCTGGGTTGTGGTATTACTGGACTCAAAGGTGCTGGAAGGATAACTGGAGACAGGGTAAGAGGGTGGTTCGTGTGACGGCTGCTCCTGTGTTCTCAGGATGCTGGTGGGCTGGCTGGCTGGAGTGATGCTGTATGTTTCGAACAGCTTTGCATTCTTGCTCGAGGCTTCTTTCACTACGGTTTTATTGGAATTCACACACCTGGACCTACAAAACAGCAGCAGGTTAAAGATGCCAGAGCAGACAAATGGTGCCAGGCTAGTCACTGGTGGCTGGGGAGGGTTTCACACACTCACGGGAGGAAGGGAAAATGCGAGAAGGGTTTGGACGTGAAGAACTGCTTTCCTGTGACCATCTGAAGCAGCTGCCTGTAGATCTCTCGCTCTTCCTCCCGAACAGTCTGCAGAGAAATAAGCCAGATGCGTTGCAACTATAGACTGAGCTCACGTGCGAGTGCTTTGCAACACTGAGTGAGCAGGAGCAGAGACAAAAGCTATGAGGTACAGGGACTCTGAGGCAGTGCTTCTCGACCTAACTCAGGGCACCCCTCCACAACTTTGAATGTGGCAGCACCCTGGGTTGAGAAGCACTTAACTACTGCAATGTGCTTTTCCTACAGAAAGTACTTTAAAAGGAGGCATAAAGGCACCGTGAAAACCTTGCTGCGCTGAAAGAGAGGGTTGGACCCAACTGACTGAAATAGATTGTGGAATCACCCAGCTCTAAACCAACAGTATTTTCTCTCCTCTCTGACGAGGCTTCTGATTTTTTTTTATCAGTCAGAACAGAGCGGCATTGAAGAACTAAAAGCAGACATTGCACAGTCTTATTTTTCCAAATCTGGGATAATGCATGTCTACCTCTACCTGTTTTAACAGTGAACTAACAGCACCTGTTTGAGGAGTACACATGGAGTTATTATAATGTTCTGTGATCGATTCCCATGTGAATTTCCTTCAGTTCCAGCACATGGCTCCACCAGACTGAAATCTGCTGCCTCAATCTCTCTCATCTCTCTCAGCCAGGCTGCTGCCACTGCCACCACAACCAGAGATGTGTGTGTTGTGTGCCTACTGTGGAGCCAGACCAAGGCAGGTGAAACTGTTCTACATGTCTTTGTTTCTAAAAGGAACATGACTGGGGAGGGTCTGGACCAAGGCGGGCTGTAGCACTAGTCTTTAAAACCCATAGAACACCCCCCTGCCAAACCTCGTTATGCCTCCTGAGGCTGGCAAGGGCTATGCATCCCATTGTGCCATTGTATTCAATACATAGGTCTTCCCTTGCTTTTCCATACCTCTTCTGCAGTGCTGATGAACCTCCGGGGGATCTTCTTTGGGCTCAACAGGCTCCGACGACATGAGCCGCTCCACGAGGGGCTCGTAACAGGTTTGATTGGGAAGGTTTTCTCATAGGCAGATGCATGACAATGATGGTTTGACTTTCCTACAAAGCTATTGGATGACCCACTGTGGAAAGCAGAAAACATGAGATTAGCCTGTTATAAAGGCGTTACTCAAAGGCACCAACTTTTCCCTCCCACCACTGCCTCAACCCTGGAAAGAAGCTGGGAGCACAAGGAGACAGAGAGGCTGGATTCCCTTTATTCTCCCCTTTCTTTCCTGTGTAGAATAGGACCCTCTGGTCAGGGTCCTGCATGGAGTCAGGGAGCAATGGATTCCTGAGGGTAGAGCAGGAAAGAGGATTTTCTACTTCCTGGGACTTCTCTGCAAGGAGCCTAGGAAAGCACTTAGATGTGTAGAGGCCCTGCCTAGCCTGGGCACAGGCAGGAGGGCAGGGTTAGAACATATTTAGTACTACTGATGTCAGAGGAGCCTTTTGACCATCACCAAACAGAAAACCCCTGAAAAGAGCTTTTGATCTCTTGTAAAAAATAGCAGGCCATCCAATTATGATCAGAAGCTTGCATTTAGGATCACAGGAAAGTTGGGCTGGAAGGGACCTCGCAAGGCCATCCAGACCAGCACCTTGCTCAAGGCGGGATCATTCCCGACTACATCATCCCAGCCAAGTGTCTGTCCAACCTGCTCTTGAAAGCTTCTAAGGACGGAGATTCCACAGTTTCTCTAGGTAGCCTGTTCCAGTGCGTGGCCAGCTTCAGAGTCAGAAAGTTCCTCCTCATCTCCAACCTAAATTTCCCCTGCTGAAGCTTGAGGCTATTGCTCCTAGTCCTGCCCCTATGGCGACAAAGAAAAGCCCATCTCTATCCTCTCTATAATCACTTTTCAGGTATTTAAAGACTCATCAAATCTCCCCCCTCAGTCTTCTCTTGCCCACATCTTTCTTGAATCGTAGAACACAGAACTGGACACAGTGCTCCAGGCAAGGCCTCCCCAGTGCTAAACAGAGCGGGAGAATCGCTTCCCTTGATTTGCAATGCAAAGCAAGTGCTCTACCACTGAGCTACAGTTTCAAAGCCAAGAGTAAAGGCTAGGAGCAACTGCTGCTCAGGGACAGCTCATAAGCTCGAACGCCAGAGGGCACCGTGGCTTTGACTAACACAACAAAGAAACTGGAGCTGGAGGAGATCTTGATGGGGCCACCTCAGTAAAGCAGCTGGACTCTCTCATGCCACAAAATGGCTGCAAAACCATCTGATGGGAAGAATCCCAGCCCCGGGATAAAACATGCAGGTGTTCTGCAGCTGGCAGCTAAGCAACTCGTGGCTCATTGAGGAAAGTAGCGTGCTGGCATTGGGCACTAGTCTAGGACTAGTCTAGGCAAGTTATTGAGTCTTCCTGCACCTGAGTTCCCCCTTGGAGCCATCAAGGCTGCCCTAGCTTGCAGGTATGTTGTGTTAATATCTTTATTCCATTTCACATAGGATAACAAAGGGGGGCCAGGGGAGTTTGAGACAGATGAGTGCCATGCCAAGTGTGATCTGTGCTAGGCTCACACTAGTAAGACGCCCCTTTCATTTATCTTCTGGGTCAGTCCCCTTTGCACCAGCCTCTCCCCCCTACCCACAGCCCGAAAACTGTTCCTTTAAAATAATCTCCACATACTGCCAACCTTCTTCCACCTGCAGTACGGCACAGCACATTTTTGTGCTTGCAACACACGGGGGGGGGAAATCCTTCTCCGAGTGTGATCTCCCTTATTTTTATTTTTACAGCAACTGCCACACAAGGATTTTCTACAGGCCCAAAAGACAACAAAAAGGCAAGCGCTGCACATCCAGTTTCTGGATTTTCAATGCAGGCTCAACACATCTATGATGAACTTAATCTTCCATCAAACAGTCATGAACTGCCTTCTCACTCGGAGGTAATTCTCCCCCCCTATACACACACTTTGCTCATCTCTGCCTCTGGGAATAATTAATTAGTTCACAAGGCAATTCAGACAGGAACTCAATAATTACTTCAAACGAATTCCCTTTGCTTTTAGAAGTCAGGAGTTTTGTTTTCATAGAAGTATTTCATTTTTTACTGAGCTAATTCAAGTGGTAGCCACCACTATGAATCCAGTTCGTACATTGCTTTAACTAGACTGGGAAAACGCAATAGCTTACGTATACACAGACAAGGTAACTGCATGGACTAAGACTGGCCTATCTGGTTTTGTCATTCGCTTCAATGGTTAGACTAACAGCAATCATTCTGAAACCCTCTCCCCTAGGCTGTTAGGCTGCAGAGAGAATCTTATCAGACAGACCTGCCAGATGCAGCCAGGAGCTCAGGTAAGCCTTGGGCTACGAAAAGTGAGAGTGAGTTCATTAGCCACTAAATCGGCTCATTCTATACAATGCTGAAGCTTGTCAAAACCATTTACTGACTGGTGGCTGTTATGAAAAGGAAGTCAGGCTGACAGCATGTGCAGCCAGTGTACAACCTCTGGGACATAACCATTAAGCGACCAAGGACCCCATGCCCAAGTGAGAGAGAACATGACGTACCTTGGGGTCTTGCGGGCTTCGAGATATGAGCCCCGGCTCGTCCTAGCTTTCTGAAGTGCGGGACCCAGGCTGGGAACCCTCCACTGCCCATTGGCACTTAGTCCAAATATTTGAGGCTCTGTTGGTGCTCGGTAACTCTCTGAGGATGGAACTTCTGCATGGAGAGAAACACTAAAGCAGTAAGGATGGAACCACATTTGTGCCTCCTAACAGTGTAGCATCAAACACCAGAAGACCTCAGGTATCGCATGCCTCAAGCAAGGCCGTCTGCACACAGAGACCGGACAAGTGAAAGAGCTTGCAAGACCGGGGTTTTAATGCTGCAGTAACCACATCTGCACCCTCCACCCCCAGGCTACACAATTCATATGGCTGCAAAATGTTATCCTAACACTCCAAAGCACACCTCAGCTCTGCTCTGATTTGAGACTGAGCATGAGGAACATGGGCACTGAATTTCAGTAGCACTTGGGCACATAACACCCTTTTATAGATTCATAGATGTTAGGGTCGGAAGGGACCTCAGTAGGTCATTGAGTCCGACTCCCTGCCCTGGGCAGGAAAGAGCGCTGGGGTCAGACAACCCCAGCTAGATGCCTGTCCAGTCTCCTCTTAAAGATTCCCAGAGTAGGGGAGAGCACCACCCCTCTTGGAAAGTGATTCCAGGTTCTGGCAACCCTTACTGTGAAGAAGTTCTTTCTAATGTCCAACCTAAATTTGCTCTCCATCAATTTGTGGCCATTGTTCCTAGTTATTCCAGGGGTGCGCTACTAAACAGAGCATCTCCTATTCCCTGCTGCCCTCCCCTGATGAATTTATAAGCAGCCACAAGATCACCTCTCAGCCTTCTCTTGAGAAGGCTGAAGAGATCTAGGTCCCTCAGTCTCTCCTCGTAGGGCCTTGCCTGCAGGCCTCTGACCATACGAGTGGCCTCCTCTGAACTCTCCCGATTCTCCGCATCCGTCTTGAAGTGCAGCACCCTAAACTGGACGCAGTACTCCAACTGACCAATGCCGCGTAGAAGGGAAGCATCGCCTCCTTGGACCTGTTTGTCATGCATCTGCTAATGCATGATAAAGTGCGGTTAGCCTTGTTGATCACTTTGTCACATTGACGACTCACATTCGTCTTGGAGTCAACTATGAATCCAAAATCCCTTTCCTTCAAGATCCCTTTTAGCATTTCAGCCAAAAAGGATATTTGAGAGAAAAGCAGCAGCTTTATTTTCACAAGAGCATTTTTACCATCATTTGAGGAATCACAGAACCAGGGACCTTCAGAGGTCACATCTAGTCCAACCCCTTGTTTGGGGCAGGATCAGCCCTATCTAAGTCATCCCATACAAATCCATAATGTAAACTGTACTTAATATACTACCATAAACCCTGACCCAACACAAGACATAACTGAACCTGCCACAGGTAAAGCAGAGGGACAATGGCTGCCAAAGTCCTTCTATAAAAAACTGTTAATATATGCAAAAGAGATCCCAGATAGAGGCCATGCCCCCTGCTACGGAGGATGGCAAAAACCCTCACAATTCGTGCCATGGGGTAGAATTCCTTCCTGACCTCAAATATGGTGGTTGGTCTGAGCCTGAGCAGAGGAACCTCTGGCTTTAAGTCCCAGCAGGAGCACTGACAAGAAGGAAGTTTTTGTGAGCCTGATCAGAAACCAAGCCACAGTGCCTTACCTGGGTAGTAACTCGGGCTGCACGACGCATCTCCAGCTGGACACGTGAAAGCTTGTTCCGAATTGCCAAGCTTGTTTGGTGAAAACTAAATGAAAAAACAAAATGAAAATCAGGATTATGACCTGCCAAGGACCGGTTTTATATGAAAACTACCTATAGTGCATGCCATAAGCTACACAACAGCAACAGCTTTTAAGGTACTAATTTATAGCAATGTGATCATAGCTCAATCATGCCTTATGAAGCCACAGATTGTCTGACAAGAGGGCAAATTGTTAACTATCTACTCCCAGCTGCCTGGCAAAATTGTACCCTTGGGAGATAATGAAGGGAGCCAACTACTCATTTTCTCCTCACTGCACAGAGCAGGCAAGTAGATTTCATACCTGGGCTAGTATATTTTCTGGTAAAACTGCACAGTTCTTTTAAAAGGGGTGTCAAGAGGATGTCCCCCCATTTGTTAAGCTTCCACAGGATGCACTCACGGACAGGTTTGCCAACCTGAAGATTTTGTACGTGCATACCCACAGGCAAGTATGCACAAGTGTAGCCTCTATGGAGGAGAGGTCATTCGCATGCATGTACACAGGCAAGCAGTTTCCTATGCCGAGTATGCCCAGATTGCAAGCTCTTTGCAGAAGGCAAAGCAGAGTGACACCTTAGAGACTAACTGGTTCAGAGAGGCATCAGTTTTCATAGGCAATAGTGGACTTCATCAGAAGATGTCATCTTTTGGCTAGTGAGGTTCAAATGACACTTGGCAGAACAGGGCTTGAGTACAAGCATCATGACAGTCCAAACAGTAAAAAGACCACGATTTTGAAATGTGCAAAGTGCCTGAATTTGGACTAACATGCACCACTACCATGCATCATCTGCTTTGTGGGAGCCCCTGGAGATATGCTATGCCAGGTGCTACATGAACATACCAAGAAGTCAGACAGTTCCTGCCCCCCAGCAGCTTGTAACAGATTGGCAGACAGATGGGAAGAGCAGGAGAAAACTGGTCAGCATAAGGAGGCCGCGGGACACCACACATTTAACCAGTGGCAAGGGGTTTGGCAAGCATCAAGGCAGAACCGTGGGGTTTGATTTAAATGCCAATGCTGGTGCCTCAAGAGGTTAAGAGCCAGTTGGATTCACCAAGGATATGCGTCCCGGCAATGCACATGAGCAGCCTGAACTGCTAGAAGGGAAAAGGAATGGCTCCCAAACCTTGGTTCCAGGCAGCGAAAGCTGATCCCCCAAAACTGCCCTCTGTGATGGTGGGAAGGCCTTGAACGTGGAGCCGTGGTTAGCCAAGGTTGCATCTCCGGCATCCATCCTCATAGGATCAGCAAACTCATCTGAGGAAACAGACAGTGTCCATGGCCGCCCACAGGATGCTCCCCACACACTCGAGCAGCATGGAAAGGAGAGAGGCAAGAAAGCCGTTAACGTCTAACACACTGAAGTAATGACATGGCCAAAGACCATGTACACACCAGGACACAAGCAACGGTCTCAAGCACTGAGCTGCAAGTGCAAAGTCCTCAATTCTATACCTGGCTCCGTCACTGACCTCCTGTGAAACTCTGGGCATCTCTCGTAGTCTCTGCTCCCTCCTCCCTATCATTTCATTTCTATTTTATCATACTCCTAAAACACAAAGGTCCTAATCTCAGGAGGAACCTCCAGGCACTACAGACAGGAGGTAAACACCAGGAAGAGAGAGGAAGCTTCAGACTGGTGCCAGGGGACAGAACCAGGAGAAGTGAAACAGGCTGAATATCAGGAAACTTTGTTAAGAACAAGGAAGCGATTAGTCTGCGCAAGGCTCACGTGAAGAAATGCAAGCCTTATTGAGAGAAATTGAAGGCGTCTCAATCTCACGCTCACCTGGTGTTTTATCGTCTTATATTCCTGTGCTCAGTTCTCCACTCCTACCCACTTCATCCCTTGAACTTCAACACATTTCTCACCAATGTATACCCTTTTAGCAGTCCTGCCCTTTGCGTCTCTGCGACAAACTGCAACAGCACTTTGATACTGATCCTACCAACGTACATCACCACAAGGGGGAAAAAAACAAATGAACACCAGAAAAAAAGCACCGCACATTCAAATGAAACCCGTTCCTACAATACACCATAATTACAGACAGAGAAACCATGGGCAGATGCAACGTCGGTTCCTGCACATTTTACTCCTTCAGAAAACGCGAGAGACTAACATGTTGATCGGACGTTTCTCGGTAGCCGCTCATTCAACCGATTCTTTAGGCGACGTTACGCGGATGCAAGGTCCACAGCGGGTGCCGGCGGCTGAACGATATTCCCCGCTGGGCTCGCACATCGGGCAGCGCAAACCCTCCAACCCGGCACGGAGGGAACACGCTCGCTCACTCACCCATCTCCAGGCTGCTCACATCCCGGACACGGACGATGCAACCTCTGGGGGCAGGGAGGGGGAAAAAAAGGACACAGTGACTACGTCTGCAAACACCCTGCATGCAACCTGAGAGTCGGTGCCAGCATCAAAACCTCTGGTCCAGAACAGACCCTCGCTTTTCCCAGCTAGCAAACTGAAGCAGAATCAAAGGTTTTCAAACCTCCTGCTGCCCCTGACCAGCCTGCCCAGGCTCCCACACGCAGCACGAGGGCAAAGCTCCCTGCCAGGCTCTGGGCGGACAGCGACCTGAAGCTGTGCCACCGAAGCAACCCCACCTATCCCCGTGGCCCAAGGACGAGCAGGCCCGACGAGCCCCGGAGGAGCCCGGCAGCGAGCGAGCGAGGGGCGCGGCCCGTACCTGCGAGTGGCGCGGCCAGGCCGGGCCGAGCTCCCTCAGGCGCTTCTCGCCGGAAGCGGAACCGGCCGCAGCGCGCGGAACCTTCCCAGCCGGAAGTGAAAGCCGCAGCAGCGGAAGCGGAAATGGCGCACAGGAAAAAACACCGGCCACGCCCCCCTCTGCCTATAAATATATGCAAATGACCTTTTTCTTCCTTTTTCCCCATTATGACCCATTTTTCCCCCCCCCATAAAAAGTTATGGTTTGTTTTTTTTTTCTACTAGTGGCTTTCATTGAAACTGGTCACATGCAGAAGCTCCTTGTCCTGCACTTGTGCTCCTGCCTGAAGGGAGTTTAAGGCCGCGACTCTTAACCGGGGTGCCTTGAGATCCTTGCAGGGTGCGCTGCCAAGCACCGAGCAGTGTTCGCACTGCTAGGTGTGCAAATAGGATCTGCAAGAGAAGCCTGTAAAGTTCAAATCGTGGTGGGCTTCCTGCGTTCTTTGCAACAAAACGCTGCTCTTTGGCTTTTCTGGAGTGCGAAACAGTGGAAACGAAGAGCTGGCGTTTTCCCAGGGATGTCAGGAGTTTAAAAAAGGCCGAGAACCGCTGGTTTGAGGCACTTTCGGCCACTTTCTAGTCTCCCGCAGCTGTGCCTTGCCTGACTGGTCGTGCTGGTTAGAGCAACCTTGAGGCTGCTCTATGCTCTGCTTCCTGGAAAGCAGCAAGGACCCCCTTTCAGCACGCTCCACCCTCACCCCGTGCGCCACGCAGCAGCGGTGGAAGGGATGTAGACCCCTGCGATGGTTGTCTGCTAGCCATGGAGGGGATCCAGGCCAGGATGCGGTGCTATCTAGCATAGGGCGTTTCTGTGCCGGCAGACCGGCACCTAGAGGCCTTCAGCATGGGGCATAGGGCCCTGTTCCTTTAAAATCAATTTGCAAGGCAATCCAACTCAACCCCTCCAAGGTAAGGCCGTGCCCTTTATATCTGCCAATGAGGCAGCAGGAAGGCAGAGGCAGCTGCTGCAGCGGGCTGAGCTCATGTCTATAAATACCAGGCTGGAGAGCTGGCCCTTTCTGGTCATGTGGGCTCCCCTGAACTTCACACTCCTTTGGTCCAAACTCTTCCTTTCTGCATCGCTTGCTTTTGCCGCCGTTTTCTTTTTCCTCACCTTCTTTCCCTTTTCCCAGAAAAGGAAGGAGCTGCCAGGTGAGTGGGGACGGGCAGAGCATTGAAAGCATCTGGCTGTGCACAGCTGGATCCTGCCAGCAATCGCCCTCTTGGTTTCAATGGGGCGACTGATCGGCTGAAATGCACCCAGCTGCGGGAGCTCCAGCCTGTCCCCAGTTCTAGCTCTTAGTGAGTGGAACCAGGGGGCTCTGGCCAGGACGTGAGTATGCATGTACAGTGCACGACGGGAGGGCAGCGGGTGCATGAAGAGGTTGGATATTTGGGGATGCAGGTTGGGGCCAGCAGGAGCAACAGCTGGGCAAATCTAGTGTGGGAGACGGTTCACAGGCAGATATTTCAGAGGGTGCTGGACTGCATGGAGAGCGAGCAAGACAAAGTCCCTGGAGCTGGGACTGAGCCTATGAGCGGTGCATTAGAAGGCATGGTGTGCCTGGCTCTTGGGTGGAGGGGGTCAGAAGTCGGCCGGAGGGGTGGGGATTCCAGCAGGGCGTGAAAGTGCGGGAATGTCGGGCAACAAGATTGGGGCAAGCATGCCTGGCAGGACTGCCGAGGTGAATGCTGTTTCAGGAGGCTGTTCAGAGTGATAAGCACTGAGAGAGCTCTGCCATGCCCCTAGAAGGAGGCTGGAGCAATGGCCTTCCGCTCCCCATCACCCAAGCCCCAGTGAGATGGACACTTTGCCAACAAATGCCTAGCAGTGAACGCCAAGGGGCCTGCGCCACACTGAGACCTGGCCGATGATTCAGCAGGCTGGTGTTACCCCAGCTCTCTCCAACTGGGTACTCTGGGCATCTACAGCTGGCCCAGGATGCCAGGACTGCCCATGCTGGGAAGGAAAGCCTGCTGGCACTGCTGCTGAGGCCTGGGACTGGGCCCAACGGGGTTCACGGACTGTCCGGATTGAAGCCCAGGGAGGCACTATCGATCCTGGTGCTGCAGCTGCTAAGTGAACCCCAGGGCATGTCAAATGAGACAGTGCGGTCTCTGAGCAATAGCTGGTCGTTGCCCAGATGTGGGGTGTAGAATGATCCAAATGTCTGGGGGACAGTCGGGGTACAGGCAGAGCCTTCTCGGAGCAGAACGAGAGAGAGGAAGGCGGTCTCAGTTACGAGAGGGGTTAGACGAGGCTGGTGCCTGCAGCGACAGACTGGATGACCCGGTCCTATGTTCCTTGTAGCTAAGACACTGGACTGAGACTAAAGAGAGATTCCCAGCTCTGTCACACAAGCACCTTTTCTGACCTTGGGCAAGTCACTTAAGCCTTGATTCAGCAAGGCTCGAGTCCCCGTTGCTGCCAGCGTAGCAGGGCTATGGGCTGAAGAAACCTCCATCTGGCTCCAGGGGGTGGGATATGTGTGAGAAGGACCATCACAAAGAACAAAGGCACGGGCTTCTAGCAGCATCACAATCCACGCTCCATGCAGGAGAGAGACAGCTTGTGTGGGCAGATTGACACTGTATGGGGCAGAGGGCTTGCCCTGAAGGGTAGGAAGGAGAGGGGTCTTTCTCTGTGGTGCCTGGCCAACCATGGCATTTTGAGGGGTAGAGAGCCTTCAGTGAGGCACAGCTGTAGGTCATAAGCCCCAAGCCTGCACCATCTCTTTCTGGGTTGTTGGCCACCTCCGTGGTGCTGCCCTTGCCCCGGTCTGATCTCTGAGGGCGTCAGACATATGGGACAGGATGGAGCCAGGAGCTGGCAGAGCCCAGACCACTTTTCAAGCCAACCACTTTTCAAGCTCAGCAGAAGCAGTGAAGCCCCTTTGTGTAGAGACGGTTGGGATGGTAGGAGGTGCGCGCAGAGGCGCCGGGCTGCAACCAGAAGACATGCAGATGCTCTCCTGTCTTCTGCCGGCTCCCGGGGCCCTTCTGGAGCTGGCGTCTTGCTGGGGTGCAGCCTAGCAGCTTAGTGGTGGTGACTGCCACCAAAAGACCTGGTGGAAAAGCACTACCTCTGTACAGATGAGGCCATAGAGGCAGTTCCTCCCTGCACCTTGCCTCAGCTGCAGCATAGCCCCCAGTTCAGCCTGGCTGGGCGGAGAGGTGCTTTGCATGCACAGACGTGTGGGTCTGTCCTCACGCCAGAGCTTTGTGCAGGGGCCGAAGAGCTTTGCAGCCACCCTCCCTGTTCCTGGCCTGGTTGGGAGACCCAGATCTCCATTCCTCACTGGCACTACACTCGGGCTTTTGCTAGGCATGGGAAGGATAGTCCAATGGTTAGGACACTAACCTAAGGCTTGGGGCACCCAGGTTCAAGTTCCCTCTGCCACATACTCCCAGAGTGACCTCAGGCACATTACTTAGCATCTTGGTTCTCTCTCTCCCTGCCTCGCTGGGAGGGGGAATGCCTCTGTGATGGTGAGATGCGGCCATCAGTAACATGGGGCAGCAGGGAAGCATTTCATTGGAACTAGAGCAGCACCTCAGGCTGAATTGGGTTGGGGAGGGGGAACCGATACCCAGCTCCACGGTGCAAAACCTGTGTCTTAGACCATGCCCAAAAGAACTTGCTGTTTAGTCCCATTTGTCACCTCAAAATCAGGCCTCCTGATGCGGGGCTGGGGTGGAGGGAGCAGCACTCATGGATCTGTTTCTGCTTCTTCCCTGAAGATGGTGATGTGTTGGTGGGACTTGGGACTCCGTGGAGCCCAGGCGGGAGGCAGCACGAGGGTGTCCCATGTTGGTGGTGTCTTGGGGACGGCATGAGCAGCCCCCCTTGCAGTTAATGCCAGGCTGGTGCCTGCGTGGCCAGGTTTATCGTTCCCTTTTGATTGATCTCTGACCCGCATTCAAAAAAATCCCTACTGTTCTGCAGAACTTCCCACCTGGTACAACAGGGGACACCCTTGGCAAAGCTTTCTGAGCGCAGCAAGCAGCATCTCAGCCGAGTTCGGGTTTCATTGCTCTCAGCGAGAGACCCTGTCCCTGGCCAAAAGCTGTACAGCTTTCACTACAGGGAAAGCAGAGCCAGCCTTGTATGCAGCTAACCTAGCATCAAAGTGCTTAGCCTGGAAGCTCTCCATGGCAGGAACCATGTTTCGCCATATGTTGGTACAGCGCCTGGCATGACAGGGTCCTGCTTTTGTCTGAGTCAGTGTAACACCGGCAGTAACCGTCCCCATTCCTGGTGTTTCTACAGATGTCTCGCCTCAGGGTAGAAAGAGTTGACCCAGTTTCACTTCTATTCCAAGCCACTTTCTGGACAGCTGCCCTTCCTTATTCTCTCATCCAGCACTTCCATGGTTCTGGGTGCCAACGCTGCAGAGAAATGCTCAGAAAGTTTCACTGGAGAGAAAAAAAAAATCTGACGACATTTCTATTAACTTCTATTAATATCAGACCATCATTTCTTTGAAACAAAACCTTAAAAAGCTGCTTAAAAATTCCCCTTTCAGTAAAAAGGGCCTGATTCTTAATTCCATGAAGGTCGTCTTCACAGCAACTGTAAAAACAGGCCTGGAAATGAATAGAAATGTCATTCACCCTCATTTTTGATTGATCCTAATCTGGCCTGGTGCAGCTGCTTTCCTCGGTTCATTTCACTGCACGAGTCTGGACCATGATCTGTGCTTTATTTCATAGACATTTCATAGACATTTGGGCTGGAAGGAACCCCAGAGGATCATCGAGTCCAGCCCCCTGCCCCAGGGGCAGGAAGTCAGCAGGGATCATAGGATCCCAGCAAGATAAGCATCCAAAAGCAGGATAAGCATCCATGTAGGAATAGGGAAACTGAGGCAGAGGGCAGTGCCCGTGAAGTCGCTCAGTAAATCAGTGGCAGAGCTGGAGGGCTTTTTCCACTCCCCAGCTAATGGCCTGGGCAGGACTGCTAATCAGTGCTTCTGTTTGCATTTGCAAAACCCTGTCTGTTGGACTGCAGGAATTTGGATCAAAGATGGCTAGTAGCAGGTGCATGCCGCTTTCAGCAGCTAGGAGCATTCGAGGACAATATCGAGGGGGGTGATATTAGCTTCTGCCTTCTGGTTATTGTGTGGGGTCCTGGTTATTGTGCGTTCCAGCGTTCACTCCCAGGGAGTGTCTCTGCAGGGCAGTGGTGTGTAAAAAAAAAAACAACAAAAAAAAAACAACTTGAAATGCCTTGGCATATGGTCCGCTGCCGCGTCCCATCAGGCGCGCGCTGAGCCCCCCTGCCCACACACACGTCCCGATTTAGGTGTGGCTGACACTGCACAAGGCAGTGACATTTTGGCTTGTCATTCGCTGCAGGGAAGCACTTCGAAAGGCGATAGCGCCGGCTGCACGAGGCGCATCTGAGCTCAGAGGCAGCACGGCCGGCGGGCAGGCAGGAGGCACCGAGAAGGGGCTGCTACGCCTCATCGCTATTAGATCTACTCTTGTTTTCCAGCTAAGAAAAAGATGCAGCCACAAGAAAGAAATGAGCACACGTACAGCCTGGGGACCGGGAAGGCCATCGCCGTGCTGACCTCGGGAGGAGATGCCCAGGGTAAGAGGCCATGTCCACAGGCTGGGTTTGCATTGGAGTTTGTTTGCTGGGTGAAGAGTCGGTCTGTGGCTGCCTTGGGTTTCTGGGGGCCTCGATCTTTTTTGGTGGGTGAAAGTGGAACAGCCATGGTCCTGAGACTCTCACTCACTGAACGTCTCGCCTAGCTGAGCATCTGAAAACCTTCAGTTGCTTTTGTGTTTGCCCTAGAAATACGTTGGCAAAAAGCATTTGGGGAAATCCAGTCCTAATCTTTTGAAGAAATCCAGTCTTGAATCCACTATTCCTCCAGTATTCTAAGTCATGCGTCCAGTCCTTGAAAATCCTAAAATTGCCTTAAAAGTCCTGAGATAAAAACCTCAGGGCATTCTGGGTTCTTTTTAATTTGCCTTTTAGCATTTGGAGCCTTTACAGGGTCCTGTTTTTAAGCTGTAACCAGAGCTAGAAATATCTCCTTAGAAAGGGCGAGGGGAGTCCCACATAATCACGTGACTCCAGCAGCTGGGATCTGGAGAATACTAATTAGACCACGACTCATGATAAGTATCACAGGGTGTTAATTTAGATCAGATTCCTACTTAGCTCAGATGGTCAGGACTTTAACCCCCTCTCAGGGAGCAGTGGAGGGCTTTGTGCCACAGGATGGCACCACAAGTGTGTTATAAGCTGAAAGGGGACATCTCATTTCAGGGGCTTTGTTTCAAAGGGGAAGGGATATAAAGCAAAACACTCCCCCAAAAAACTAGGCACCATTAAAAGTTGCACGGCTATAATATTGAAACACTTCAAATGTGGCTAAACAATCAATAAAAACCAATGGGTTTTTATATATTTATGCACATTAGCTTTTTAAAATATGCACATTTTAATCTGCATTCATTGGTTGGCTTTAAAATGTACCTTATTTATTCACATACCATGCTCGCTTTCCCCCTCAAAAATTGAAAATTAGCATGTGTCTTGCACCAGGACATTGATTCAAAGCAGTTTGGTTAAAAGGAAAGGACCTCGGAAGATCATTGAGTCCCCTGGGGCAGGAAGTCAGCAGGGATACTAGGATCCCAGCAAGATAAGCATCCAAATATCTCTTGAAGGCGTTCAAAGTAGGTGCTTGAACCACCTCCGGCGGCAGTCTATTCCAGGCCTTGGGGGCTCGGACAGTAAAGAAGTTCTTCTTTATGTCCAGCCTGAAACGGTCACGGAGGAGTTTGTGACCGTTTGACCGTGTCATCCTTGGGGCGCTCTGCTGACATCTTTTTGTCTTCATTCTATCTTCCCCAAAAAAGGCACGTCTTATTTGGAGGCATGTGGTATATGAGTAAATACTGTAGTTGAACTCAAAAGCAGCACTTTCTAGCATGGATCGCTACGTAGTTCTGAAAACACGAGGTTGACCAATACCTGTCCAAACGAAGGATGGCATTTTCAAGTATTTAATGCTGGGAGGGATTTTGGAAGTGGTTTGTTTTTTTTTGTCCCAAATCATGAGAGATTTCCTGATGAAACAAGAACTCTTCACGAGACTCGAAGAGAAGGCAGAAACCTGCCCTGCAGAAGCAATGTGCAGCAACAGGCGGTGTATTGGCGTGTGGTGGATTCGAGTGCGGTGGTTCAGCGTTCGACTGTGTGTGGTTCTTTTGGCCACCGTGTTGGTTACACCCTTCAAGCGCTGCTGCAAGGTGGCCCTGGGCTATTGCCCCCCTTGTAGGTAGAAGGGGCAGGAAAGCACAGACAGGCTACCCAGCCCTCAACAGAAAGAAGTGGGGAGCAGCGGAGGGCCTCTGGGGTCTGTCGAGCCAGGGGAGCAAGGGCGATGGCTTGGGGTGGCCTGCCAGGGTGTGTATATGAGGCATGAGGTGAAGCAAGATGGCAATGTTGCTACCCAGTTGGAGGAGACTCTGGGGAGATGGAGATGGGGCCTGCTACGTGCATGGAGTGGGTGGTTGAGCTGCCCAGAGACAGCTGTTAATGCTGGAGATGAACGCAGGCTCCATGCATGTCTAGATGCATGAAAGCTACTGCACGTTGCACTGAAGCACGGAGAAGTTCCCTGCCTATCTGCAGAGAGGCTGAGATGGGCTCCAGGACCTCCTCAGCAGAGGTACTGAGCAAACCGGACATTGGCCAAAGAGCCCCCTGAGACAGCAAGAAGTAGATGAGACAGGTTGGAGCACTTGGCAAGACCTGGGAGCTGTTGGCTCCATGATGCGGGGGGAGTCTGGAGTCTCGGTAGTGCTCCAAAAGCCTTGGCAAACAGAATTGAGGCTCCCGCCTTGAAGCCACGCTCCTGCAGGGCAGAAATGAGGGAGCTGGTCACCTTAGAAGGGCTGCTCTGGGCACTGCATGCGGATTCCCAGCACCCCGCTGCCTGGGGGTGCAAGGCAAGCAGCTCTGAGATGAAGAGTCCTAGGAAGGACACGTGCCCTCCCCTGCAGTCCTGACACCTGCCAGCCACCCTGTCGGGGCTCCGTGGGCACTGGCAGACCTCGCTGAAGCAGAGGGGCCAGCTCACTGCCTTGTCTCCAGGCTTAAATGAGGGAGCCTTAAACACCCCTTGGTGCAGTGACAGTTGGCACAACAGAAGCCACCACCCAAGGCACCAGGCTGAACCAGCGTGGGGCACTGACTGGTGGAGGTGCACACGTGGAAAGCTGAAGAGAGCCCCTAAACAAACAGAGAGCGGCTGATGGTGCAGCCAGGGAGAGATCTAGGCTAGAGGTCCTTTGGAGCAGGGCTCCAGTGGGAAAGGCAGGTGAGAAGACTGGGAAACTGAGAGCCAGGAATGGACCCTGATGTTCTTTGCATGGCCAGCGGTCGAGCTGGAAGGACGCCCAGTCTACAGCCCAGCACCACAGGGGTGGAGCTCAAGCAGCCACCTCCTGTCTGAATCCACTGGGCATGACTGCCTCTTCTGGATCCCCTCTGTGGGTTGGGGATTCAGCCAGCGTTTGGGACCCAGGGTGCCTTCTGGCTGGCTGTCTGACTTGGACCAAGCTGCCAGCCCTGTGGGAGACAGTGCAGGTCCTGTTCCCCACTCTGGCACTGCCCTGCTCTGTAACCTTGGCCAAGTCCCTTGTCCATCCTGATGCCTCTGTTTCTCCAGGCCTTGAGCAGGTCAGAAATGGCCTGGATATACTGGAGCCTGCTTCAGTGCAGGGGATGAGCGAGAAGATCCATCAACGTCCTTCCACTCCTAGATTTCATGGATTAATCTCTGCATTCCCCTGCTGTTCCCTCAGCAGCTGTTTGAGGAGTTGAGATGAGGCTGGTTGTTAGCTGGACTTCTCCCCATCACCTTCCAGCCTAATGAGCTCTTGTCCTAACGATGCAACAGGCTGGCAGCGGTGGCCGCAGCCTCTCCTTGAGACAGTCACATGAGCGTGAGGTGGGGGGAAGCTTCCTGGGCAGGCAGGGGCTTGGGTTACCTCCCTGGCAGGGTATCTGCAGGCAGGCTGGGCATCAAGGAGCATTGCAGGCACTTGCTGGTAAAGGTCAACGCCTCAAAAATAAAACGTGAAAGTCATGCCCAGGATCAGATGCGGGGACTGTGTTGTGTCGGAGCCACCGGCATGAGTGGGGGGCAAGGCAGGGCTGGGTTATGGGCAGAGGCTGGGGGCCCTGAGACACCCCCGTGAGAGGCAGAGTGAGACTTTGGGGTGAGCGGTTGTTGCCCCTGTGCAAAGCACAGGGAACAGAGGCTGCAGAGAGGACACCAGGGGGTGGATTCCTCTGTGTCCTCTGCTCTGTGCAGCCTGCCGGCCCCTGCAGACATGAGAAGTGGGGCCTATTCTCAGCCCTGCCATGAACCTCGGGCAGATCCCTTCTCTTCTCTGTCCCCTCCCATGCTTTGCCTCTCTTGTCTGCTGAGGCTGTCTTGTCTGAACCCTCAACAGCCCCTAGCACAGAGAGGCGCCCACCCGTCTCTCCCACGCTACTATGCATGAGGGGCAAAGACCTCTCTCCACCCGGCTTTGCCGGCTGGGACCCTGATCTGGCGTGGAGAAGGCTGCCAAGCAGAGAGTTGGCCATGTGCCTGGGTTCTACCCCGTGCTGGCATCAGGGGCGAAGTCACACAAGGGCTCGGCCCAAGTCTGATGTGCCCAGGCCTGGTCCGTGTTCTGCTGTAGGTCATGGGTCTGCTTTGATGCTCACGGCTTCTGTGGGATCCTCTCACCTAGGATCCCTCTGAGCCCAGCCCAGCTGGGACGTCACTCTGTGCAGTCCAGGGCGGCTCCTTCAGGTGTCTGCCACGAGGCCACATCCCCAGGCAAATCGCCTCTTGCCCCAAAGCTGTGGAGCTGTTTGAATCAGCTCTCCTGGCACAGCCTTTGGAGCAGAGATACTTCCCCTACCCAGTCAATGGGTGCCAGGGCTGGATGGGTGGCGAGGTTGGGCGCTGCCAGCATAACAAGCACCATGGCCAGTGTGTCCTGACCAGGGAATGGGACCCTGGATTGGGGCCTAAGAGACCTTGGTACATAGCCCGCCACTGACTCCCTCTGTGACCATGAGCTTGTCACTTAGTGCAAAATCCAACCTGACCCTGTCGTGCCCTCACTTAGGCACTGCAGCAACTAAAAAATAGGTCCCAGGAAGCAATACAGAGATATGGGGCTGAGGTCCAGAGGGGAAAGGTGCCTCTAGGGCCATGCAGGCAGCCCAGAGGCTGGGTGGGAGCTCCCACAGTGTTGGGGAAGGCAGCAGAAGCATATCTGCCGAGCAGGCATCTCCATCTCCTTGAGACACGGAGTTCGGAGTCCCCTGGTGAGTGCCAGCAGCGCTCTGAGCAGTGCAGGGGAGTCTAGTGGGTAGAGCAGTCGCCATAGAAACAGGATCCTCCCCAGCCTGTGGGGATTCAAACCCATATCTCCCTGATGCTAAGACCAGTGAGGGGACTTGGGGCACAGGGAGAGGCCCCTGGTCACCAGCCATGCATCTGTCCCCAAGGTTCAGAACCAGCTGGGGCTGCTCTGAGCCGCTGGTGCAGCTCCCGGCACAGCCCTAGCCCTGTGGGCAAGCAGGTGGCCCATCCCACATGCCCCAGCCTGCTGCGCCCAGGTGAGACTTATTTCTCTGTCTCTCTCTCCCTCCAGGCATGAATGCAGCTGTCCGGGCCGTGGTCCGAGTGGGCATCTACACAGGCGCCAAGGTCTACTTTGTTCATGAGGTTGGTACGCTCACTTCTTGCCGAAGCGGGTTCTCCCCTTTCTGCCCCCTGGCCAGTAGCCCGGCCCCTCGCTGGGGCTGCATCCTGGAATAGCAGCGCACAGGACAGCAAGGAAACCACACGGCAAGGGGCAGCAGCCAGTGAAACTGCAAGGGGGTTCACTGTGTGCTTCACATACCCCACTGCATTTAGTCTCTAAACCACCTCCACCTAGGAACTGGAACTGCAGGTCAAGGGGCCTCCAAAGATTAGTGGCCCATTGGGCTACTGTGGTTCAGGTCATGCCAGCTACTGCAGCCCACAGCATGCGAGGAAGGTGGTTGCTTCACACCCAACTGCCTTGGACTCCCCAGCCTGAAGGACCAGGAGCCATTGATGGGTGGGCAGGTCAAAAGACATCACATGGAAACGGTGCTCCTCTCCCGACCAAGATGCACAGGACGGTAGTGAAATGCAGGCCAGGGCATTTCTGTCAGTCTGGCAGCACCTGTAGGAACCATGCACCATGGAACATCTTGCCAGGGCCATTGCCCAGGTCATATTATGCGCTTAGTACTGGAAATATCCATTGTTGTGGCAGGATGTGAGAAGAAGAGACATGGACCCAGAAGGACCTTCCATCACCCACTGGGAAAGATGAGTAGATTCACTCTGCACCAGCCCCAGGGACCCCATGTCCCAGAAAGATCCTCTGAGCACCATCCTGCATCCGGTGACAAAGCCAACAGGAAAGCAAGAGGTCACTTGAGGCCAAGACTCCCAAACTCTGATTCAGACTCACGGTGATGTTCTGGAGTTCAGGATATGCTACCTCAAAAGAAGGGACCAGCATTAACAGTGCTTTCTTAGCTCCAGTCTCCAGCTGTGGACCTGACTTTGGATAGGAAGAGTCGTCTCTCTGGGTGGGAGTGGGTCAGTGCAAGGAGAAAGCTGGTTATCGTTAGACTATAGCTTGCTGTTGACTATTAAGTATAGTCTGTCTGTCTATATATGCTCCCATATGCGAAAGGTATCCATCCATCCATTGCTATATGTAGCCATCTCCCATATTTCTAACATCCCCATCATTGTGGTATCTGGGCATGAGAGATAAATTACCCTAATCCAAGTCTGCTTTCTAGTGCTCAGAGCTGCAGTTGCAAAGGATGCTTTCCTACAAAAGCATCTTGAGCAGAGGCTGCTTCTGACTTGCCCTCACCTCTCACGTTTCCTTCTAGGGTTACCAGGGGCTGGTCGATGGAGGTAACAACATCAAGGAGGCCACATGGGAGAGCGTGTCAATGATGCTGCAGCTGGTAAGTCCTGGCAGGAATCCCCTTCTTCCCCGCAGAAGGCAAAAGGGAGAGGGAGAGAGAGACCCAGACCAGCTGAGGCTCAGGGGTTTTCAAAGGAGCCCAAGGGACTTAGACACTGAACTTCACTGAATTTCAGTGGGGTTTAGTTGCAGTTTTGTGGAAGTCAAAACCTCCTGCAGGAACTTGATGGTTTCAATGCAATTTTATTTTGAGAAAAAATAATTGAAGGAAATTCTTTGATGAGAACAAAACATCCCAGGCCTGTTGAGAGGGGTCAGGCTTGAGAGAGGGCGGTTTCTATTGGGAACGTATTGTACAGCATGCTATGAACTCTAATCTAAAAAAGACCCTATTGAAACAGAACAATGCCGTTTTCCCAAAACAGAACATTTTAAATTGCACCATTTGTTGATGGGGGGAATAACTGTTGTTCAGTTGGAGGTGTCACAGCAGCATTGGCCTGTGCCTTGATGCAAAAGGCTGCAATGCGTGGATGGCACGCAGTAGGAATACCATGTTTCAGCCCCCTTGTTCGCTGCATGTGGGACACATGGTACAGCGGCCCTGGCTTTGCTGTGTACAGCACAGAGCACCCCCATGCCCACACCCACTGGGCAGGGCTGGAGAGAGGGGGTGGGATCAGAAGCTGAATCTGCTTCCCATCTCCCCACTGCTACCAGCTGTGGGAATCAAGGTTTAGGTCTTGGTTCAAATCCCAGAAGAAGCTAGGAGTGTAAAACAGGCTGTGCCCCCTGTCCCTGACCCCTTTGAGATCATACAATCACAGAAAATGAGGGTGGGAAGGGACCTCAGGAAGTCACATCTAGTCCAACTCCCTGCTCCAAGCAGGACCAGGCCCAACTAGATCATCCCAGCCAAGGCTTTGTCTACTCAGGTCTTAAAAACCTCCAAGGATGGAGAGTCCACAATCTCTCTGGGTAACCTGTTCCAGTGTTTTACTACCCTCCTAGTGAGAAAATTCTTCCTAATATCTAACCACTGGACTGACACTGGACAGAGGAGGGAACGGCATTCAAAGTTCCCACAGAAGGGCGGGCAGGAGGAGGGTGCGGCTGCACTGTGGCCTTAACCAGAGTCCCTTGCACTCACCAGCACCCAGACTTGCATCCCCCACACTCCCCTCCTCCCTGGGTTACAGAGCTGTTTACTTGTCCATCAGCTTTAAATGTCAGGGTGATTTCAGGAAAAGGTCCCTGCGAGGAGGGAAATGAGTCAAACTTCTTGACCTTTTCCCACCAGGGTCACTGAGAAGGATTTGGGCAGTCAAGTGTCACCCGATCCCTGGGGGTGGGGTCACCTCCAGCCCCTGGGCCCAAAATAACAAGAAACTGGAGAGCGCAAGCCGAATGGCTCTGCTTGTGACTGGCCCCACACTCAGGTTTCACAAACAAGAACCCCAGGACCCAGGATTTGCCCTTCTCCTCGCACTGGGCCATGCTGGAAACACGATGGCTGGTATCTGCTCCAAAGCATGCATGCATTGCTGTCTGGGCCTCGAGACTGCTCCTGTGGCATGGGAGCATAAAGGAGGACTCTGGAGTGAACCCAGACCACGACAGTGATAGCCCAAGGGCAGAACTGACCCTGCAGCAGGCTCTGATGCTACCACAACAGTAGCACATTACTCCATGGACAGAGTAAATGATGATGCTGGGTAAATCAGCAGTGTGTCAATGTAGAGTGGTAGCAGACAGATGAGCTCTGAGCTGGGGAACTTTGCCAAAGCTGATGAAGAATGAGCGCTGAAAGAACCAGGGGTAAAAGTTACACTGGAGTCAGTGTCATCTGCCTCCATCTATCCCGGGATAGCTGTTCAGCAAAGGCAAACTGGCTATTAGCTGTTCCCCTGCCAGTCGGCAGGAAAGCCTTCTCATAGTCAGGCTAGATATCAGGAGGCACTGCTTCACTGTCAGGGTGACTAGGAGCTGGAACCAACTTCCAAGGGAAGTGGTGCTTGCCCCTACCCTGGGGGTCTTCAAAAGAAGGCTAGACAGACACCTAGCTGGGGTCATTTGACCTCTGCATCCTTTCCCGCCATGGCAGGGGGTCGGACTAGATGATCTGCTTAGGTCCCTTCCAACTCTACCAACTATGAAACTATAGTCGCTGCCCACGTGAGCTACCCCAGGACAGTGCATGTCTGTCCATGCCACTTTCCTGTTGGCTTCTGTACCTGGATCAGTTCCCAGGCTGGGTCTACAAAGCCCCCCTGGGTGGGTTGGGACAGTTATAAGTGCTCATTCCCCACTGACCTACCTCATGCCCCCTACCCCCAGGGTGGCACCGTGATCGGGAGTGCCCGGTGCCAGGATTTCCGCACACGCGAAGGCCGCCTCAAAGCTGCTCGCAACCTGGTGAAGAGAGGCGTCACCAACCTGTGCGTCATCGGTGGCGACGGCAGCCTCACTGGAGCTGACACCTTCCGGGCCGAGTGGAGCGGCTTGCTGGCAGACTTGGTGAAGACAGGTAGCATTGGGGATGGGGAAAATGCTGCCAGGACAGCCTGGGGCCCATAGCACATTGGCACTGCCCTTCCTCAGCTGGCCTTGGCTGCTCCCTTCCCTTCCCTCCCTCCATGATGAAACCCCCAGCCCATGAACGCAACAGCTCGGAGACACCATCACGCCCACAGGACACGAACTCATCTAGGCACACGCCATCCCTGAGGCCCACTCTGGCCCCAAGACCCCTCTCACCAGTGCTCTTTCCCCCAAGACGCCCACCACAGTGCCCTTTAATACCCGCCAGTCCATGCATGTTACACTACTAAGGCCACTCCTGCTCACGCCTGCCCTATTCCCACCCCCAGGTGTACACTGGAAGGAGGTGGGAACGGCAACCAGAAGAGCTGGCTGGGAGGTTTGACAGAGATGAGGGTTGGGTTGGCCACCTCCCATGTTCCCTGGGCCTGTGGGTCCCTCCCTGCAGGTGGCATCACGGCGGACGAGGCGAAGAAGTCCGGTTTCCTAAACATTGTGGGCATGGTCGGGTCCATCGACAATGACTTCTGCGGCACTGATATGACCATCGGCACTGACTCTGCCCTGCACCGCATCATGGAGATCGTGGATGCCATCACTACCACAGCTCAGAGGTAATGCCTCGGGGCTCACGTCTTCCCTCTCAGCATCCAGAGTGGAAGCTAAGGCTGTCCAGAGCCCAGGGACCCCAAAGGCTTACGGGAGACAAAGCCAAATCTGCCTTTGTTAGTGACTGCAACAACCCAAGGAAAATCAGGCCCAGTCCAGGGCCCCAATCCTTGTGTGAGACCAATGCTGGCACAAGAATCCACCAGGGTGGATTTAATGCATTGGCAAGACAATGACGATGCTGATGATGTTGTGGGAAGGCCCAGCTGAGAACAGGGCCCCGCTGTACTGTGAGCGGTTGGAGCAGAGATCATCTCTTGTATGCCGTGTTTGTACAGCTCCAAGCACCCTGGGGTCCTAGTTGCTGCCTGCAGCTTCTGACCATGACTGCAGTGCAAATGACTACTACTAATTGGTGCATCTACATGAGGCGCTTACTGCGCATTGGCCTAATAACACTGCGCAGCTAATAGCTTACTACACAATGCTATTAGGCTAATGCTCAGTAAGTGTCATTAAAACTGCTGTGCGCCAGTGCTAATGCACAGTAACTTTAGGTACTGCACAGTTAGTTCATCCTTTGTTAAGGAAGTAGTAAACTAAATGTGTAGTATCTAAGGTGCATTAATGAAGTGTAGATGCGCCCGCTAAGTAGTAAGATTATGCAAATGATATGTGAAAGCCAGGCCCAGCCCCAAAGCTCGTGTGCTCACAAGACAAGCCAAACACATGGGGGAAACTGAGGCAGAGAGAACAGACTTGTCCATGTCATGCAGCAGAACCCAGGCATCCGGAGCCCCGGGCTATGCCTGCAGCCCCAGGCCTGGACCCGGCGTATGAGCCTCGTGCCCCCAGCTCTGTGGGTGTGGTGCAGCGTCTGTGCTAGCTGCCGTAACTGGGCCCTCCTCTCTTTCTCATAGCCACCAGCGGACATTCGTGCTAGAAGTGATGGGCCGGCACTGCGGGTGAGTGACCATCTTCTGCCATCCCCCTGTCCTCGGAGGCAGCATGCAGAGAGGTGCCCCTGGCTTGGAGGAAGGACCGGTGTGCTCCATCCTCTGCACACCAGGCCTATTGCTCCCCAGCTCCCATGCCTCCCACCCCCTAGCTGATAACATAGCCACAGGGGTGTCTCTTGTGGAGCTGGCAGGGGCCCAAGCTGGATCTGTGCTGCTGGAGGGAGGGGGGACCGGCAGGACCCCCAGTGCTCATACCCCATCTCCTTCCCCCCAGGCTGAGGCCCTGATCCGCCCCACAGGGCAGGCAACGGGCCTGATCCTTGGCCTGCGTGTGCACGTGGCTCTATTGAAATCCCAGCCACGCTCCAGCCTGGGTTAGCCAGGCTGGAGGAGCACAACAGTCTCGGTCAGGGTTTGCTGCTGGTGAAAGTCTGCCCCCAAGGTACAGGGTCTCGGACCTCCTGGGGGTCCACAATATAGGCCTTAAATTGAGGAGCGCACAGCACCCGGGGCTGGCTCTGCCATGCCCAGGTTTGGGTCTCTAAGCCTGGACACGTTCTGTTCCCAGCTTTGACCCCCCAAAACTACATGCAAATCAGCATAGCGAGGAGGCGGGGCACTTCCTGTCGCATCCAGACTGACACAGGGCTTTTCATATTAATATTATTTTATATTAATTAATATTCACATTTATAAGTTGAAATGTGTATATATTTATAGTAATCACCCAGCAGCATTTCTGCAGTGTCCCAGCATCCCCACACTGCTCCTCCCCTCCTGCATGACCCCCAAACCCCATCAGCTGCCCATCAGCCTTGCCTGGTGCACTGACCCCTCTCCCCCTGCAGCTACCTGGCTCTGGTGACCTCTCTGGCCTGCGGCGCTGACTGGGTGTTCATCCCTGAGTCTCCCCCTGAGGATGACTGGGAGGAACACTTGTGCAGGAGGCTCACTGAGGTAAGGGGGCAGGATTCCCACTTAGGTCCCGCAGTCACAGGGCCATGGATGGCCCTTCAGCTTAACTCATGGTGAAGCTCATTGCCTTGCTCCAGCTTCTTGCTGGATGAGAGTCCTCCCTGGAAAGGGTAGACCTGGTATAGACGTGCAGATGAACCCTGGCTGTTGAACCATTCAAGGACTCCACCCATGATTGGGATTTGGAGGACATGCAGGTGATACAGGTCAGTTATTTCCTTGGGGCAGTCGCTGTTTGTTCATGGAGTGTGACTGCAGAGGCCCCAGACAGCAGGAACAGCAAGGAGCAGGCTGTCTCCTTGCTCGCAGCTCCCACATCTGCCTCTCCAGCGAGCTCTGTGCTCCAAGAAGCTTTGCCCCGTTGTGGCACCTTCACCCCAATGCCTCTCAGACACTCTTGGCAGCAGCTTAGCAATCGCCTGAACCTGGCATCTGCAGTGGACACTGGAGGAACCTCCTAGCTCTGCTTTGCTTCACCGTGCACCTTGGGCAGCAGCCTGTTACTGAGTCAGTTGTCCTGGCATGGAGGGGCATTTAATTGCTTCTTTCATTTAGCCTGAGTGAAGGGTGCTAGATGGCAGCTCTTTCACAGGTTCTAGGCTCACACAGGGCAGGGGCTTTATTGGAACATAAGAAACATCCTACTGGGTCAACCCGTCTAGCCCAGCAGCCCGTCTGCTTCAGAGGAAACTGGATATATCTAGAGTGATCTCTCCCCTATTCAATACCCTCCCTGTCTTCCACTATTACTGGCTTAGAGGTGCCAAAGGAAATATCTCCAACCATCCCATTCAACAGCTCTTAATATTGAGTTCTTGTCTGTGAATTTGTCTAGTCCCTGGCTGTGCTATATGCCTCTACCACCTCCTGCGGCAATGAATTCCACGAGTAAATTATGCTTTACATAAAAAAGTACATTCTCTTGTTAGTTTGTAACCCTTCTTCTACTAATTTCAGTGGATGTCCCCTAGTTCTAGTGCTCTGGGGCCTCGAGAACAACAGTTCCCTGTTCACTTTGTCCATACCATGCCCTCCATGATTTTATAGACCTCTGTCAAATCCCCCATCAGCCTTCTCCTTTCCAAATTGAAGAGTCCTAGGCTTTTTAGTCTCTTCTGGCCTGGCAACTGCTTCAGGTTCTGGTCATTTTGGTTACCCTTCTCTGTACCTTTTCCCATCATGCTACATCCATTCCTACTGTATCCTATTCCATGCCTCTGATGGGGTGGATAGCTCCCACCTTTCCTGCCATGTTAAGAGCATCACCCCATTTGCTTGCCCTCTCCTTCCTTTCCTTCCAGACCAGAGGCCGGGGATCACGGCTGAACATCATTATTGTGGCTGAAGGTGCCATCGACAAGCATGGGAAGGCCATCACTTCAGAGGACATCAAGAGTGTGAGTGGGGCCTAGGGCTACTGGGTGCCCACAGGATGCATCTCATATGCACATGCTTTACCAGACTGCACTGGGTAGCTCCAGCACTAAAACAAAAGGGCCAAATCCTTGGCGGAGGCAAACCAGCATTGCTCCGTGGCCTTCAGGAGGGACCCAAGCTTGCCCCAAATGGGTCCTCTCAGAAAGGTCCAAACACAATGAGGATAATGCAGCCTCTCAGGAGGACACCCCAGGAAGATTTTTGCTCAGTGGGGAGTGGGGCTGGGTGAAGTTTTCCCTGCTGTTCCTCAGGCGATAGTTAAACCAAGGCAACATCCCAGCCAAAAGCTTTGGCTTGGTTTCAAAGCAATGTTGCTCTATGTCAATGTTGATGGCATTTGCTTTTTTACAACAGGAGGAAAAGGGGAGGGTCTCTCAGCTTGGAAATACAATGGGGCAACCTAAAACAATGGGTTTATTCGAGCTTTTCAGGTCAGCCACTGAATGTCTCCTTGTTGTGTGGCTGGGCAGGCCCTGGCTTCGGAGAACTTCAGCATGGCTGCCATTCCCACACACAGACCGCATCTACTGTGGGTATAAGGCATGTCAGGGAAGCCTGGTGAGGGGTCCATCTCGGTCCCTGCAGTGTCCAGCCCGAACACTGGAGGTGAAGGACTCTCCCATGTTTGTCTCTCCCTTTCAGCTGGTGGTGAAGCGCCTGGGCTACGACACGAGAGTCACCATCCTCGGGCACGTGCAGCGTGGCGGGACACCCTCCGCCTTCGACCGCATCCTGGTATGCGCTGGGGGATGTCTCCTTGGCGGCCCAGCGTTAGGTGATGAAAGGAGGCTGCGTCTCGCACCAAGTCTCAGCACCTCTGGGCAGCAGCTGGGGCTGGGAACGTCTGCCAGGGGCCAGGATGAATGGGTTTTGCCCCCCAGACACAGCACATGGCCCAGGGGGAACTTGCACCCTAGACCTCCTTGGCATGGAGAGACCGGGAGGAGTCTCAGAGTAGAGAGAGGTCCTAGGACTTTAGTGGGGGTCTTCAGTGATGCATTTGCCCAGGGCTGTTCTGGCTTCCTGCCTACACTACAGAACCTCACCCCGTAATCCCTGAACCAAACCTGTGTCTTGTAGTCGAGCGAGTGCCAGCTCAGCGCCAGGCCACTATAAAGAGAGGGGGGACTAAGGACTGGCCCCGTGTTTGGGGCACAAATGAGAACAAGGACTTCAAGGAGGGGTTGAAGCTATCCAGTGTGGAACAAAACTGTGTCTCTTCTGCCTCAGGGGAGCCGGATGGGGGTAGAAGCTGTCATGGCCTTGCTGGAGGGGACTCCCGACAGCCCAGCGTGCGTTGTCAGCCTGTCCGGCAACCAGGCTGTCCGCCTGCCGCTCATGGAGTGCGTCCAGGTGGTGAGTGTTGCGGTGGCGTGGGCCGCGCTAGGTGCTGCACAGATGTGTGGTGAAGGGCCAGGCCTGCCCCCAAAAGCTCACAGCCTGGAGGGATGAGACTGAGAGGTGGGGGATGAGGTTCGCTTTAGGATTGATTAGCAGCCTGTAGCTAACAAAGAGCTGCCACTTGCAATGTGCCAACCACCTCCCCGGTATCAGGGAGCGCTGTCGACCTCAGGGGGCTCCTGGTTCCAATTAGTCGAGTGGCTCAGGACTAATCAAGGCAGTCTGCAGTCTCATGGCCGCATCTCCATGCATGACCCCACCTCTCCTGGGGGCAGCATCAGAGTATGATACGGCTCCGGGAGCTATTGTATGAAGCTCTCTGCAGACTCAGGCAGGCATCAATCACGCTCAGGCTATGTTTCCTCTGAGAGCCCTTGGCACAGCCAGCCATCCCTATTCCTTCACCCAGATCTGCTCCTGGTTAGGCTGAGGTGGGTGCGTCAGGCAACTTCTTTCCTTCCAACAGACCAAAGACGTCACGACCGCGATGAAAGAGGGCCGGTTCGATGATGCCGTCAAGCTGAGGGGAAGGTGAGTGACCAGCTACTTGAAGCAAGGACTGCAATGATCCCGGAGCTTGGAGGTCTTGAAATATGCTCTGTGACGATAGCGTATCCCCAGCCCTTCTCCATCAGTTGACCTCACAGCCCTTCACTCAGGGGACTGGAATCATCATCCGCACTTTCCATGTGGCAGAGTTAAAGCACAAAAGGGAGAAGTGACTTGCCCAGGATCAACCAGCAGGGCAGTGGTGGGAACAGAACAGGACCGAGGTGTCCTGGGACCCAGTCCAATGCTTCACCATCAGGCCACTCTTCTCTGATGGACAAACAGTTCTCTAAGGAGACTTGACTGGGAGATTTTCCAAGGCAGCCATGAGAACAATCTCATCCGCTAAGAAGTGGGTGCTGGGGAAATGATCCTTGAAGCAGCTTGCGCCCAGACATTGGGTCTTATCTGTGGCTTCGTTAGACATCCCATTTGAAGCAATGCACTCCTGGACAGCAGGCTCCGGGCTGGATGCAGGGATTGAGGACAAGGCCCCATTAGCTTTTTTGCCAGTTGTGTGGTCACGAGTCCTTCACTGTTTCCTCCTTGCAGGAGTTTCCAGAACAACTGGAACGTGTACAAGCTGCTGGCCCATGTGCGCCCACCCTCCACCAAGGTACGAGGGGATCAGGCTGGCTCAGGGCCCCCTGCACTGCCAGCGGGGCTGGGCGCTCAGAGGGGCAGGCTCCTGACAGCTTTACTCTCAGTGGGAGTAAACAGCCTTGTGCCCCTGGGGACTGCCAGGGCCAGGCCATTGGGGAAAGCCTGGGACAGCTCCTGAAGGTCCTGCTATGGATCTGTGCCAACATCACACCCTGGGCCTCCCCCCTACCACATGTTGCCCATGCAATGGTGCATGGTTGTCCTGGCATCGCGGGATGCATCATCAGTGGGATGTGGTCTGCCTCTTCCCTGGACAGGGATTCCCAATGCTGTGCAAGGGCTTTCTATTGTCCCCATGTCTGTCTTCCCCCACCTTTGCAGAGCGGTTATAACTTGGCTGTGCTGAATGTCGGTGCCCCAGCTGCTGGCATGAATGCGGCTGTGAGATCGACCGTCAGGATTGGGATCATCCACGGGCACAGGATGCTGGCGGTGTATGACGGGTTCGAGGGGCTCGCGGAAGGAAAGGTACCACCGAGGGCAAGGCAGCTCCCCCTCCGCCCATCTCCCCCTGCCCTGTGCAGGGTCCTGGCAGCGTGGGAGCACTGGTGGGGAGAGGGGACAGCTGCAGGAAGCTGACGATGCAGGGGCATAGGGTAGCTTTTCCACTTGGCAACAGCTACAGGGCAGAAGGTGCTTGAATGAAGGATGCTGTAGGAAGGCAGTGCTCGGGCCTGAGGGGTCAAGTAGCAGGCCAGGCTGGGCAAGCACTTGATAGACGAGTTGAGCTGGAGCCTAAACTGAACAGGGAAGCCAGCAACAGGGCTGCTACCTTGAGGGACGGCGAGCTCGGCAGGGCAGGGAACGAATGACATAGAGGAGGGCAGGCCCTGGTGGAGCACTGGGCTCCCAGGCTGCGTGGACTCAGGCACTCTGTCGATACCCAAAAGGCGCCTTTAGGTGAGCAGCAGTGGCAGCTGCTCCATTGGCCGTGACAGGCCATAGGGAAAGCCCTGCGGGTTCTCCAGTGCCGGTGGAAACACTTCCCAAGGGCAAAGGCAGTGGAGAATTAAGCCCCATCTCATGCTGGTGCAGCTACCTGGCCCCAAACCCACAGCAGTTCTTTCGGGACAGTCTGCAGGCTCTGGGAGCCATATCCACGGCTGCCACATTGTTTGTGGAAGCCTCTCTGCCCTTCTCTTTTCGCTAGTAGATTACGGGCTCTTTTAAACCCTCTTCCTCTTCCCGCAGGTGGAGGAGATCGGATGGGCAGGCGTCGGCGGCTGGACTGGGCTGGGCGGATCAAAGCTAGGGACAAAAAGGTAGGGCAGGCATGGGGGGACGGGAAACAATGGCATGATCTGTCACATGAGGGGACCTCGGGGACATCACAGAGCCAGGCTGTGGCCCTAGGTAGCTTGGATCTTCACAGATCCTGCCTCATGCCAACAACTGGTGTCCTCCCAGCGAATGCTGGGCCCGCTGTCCGCCCAGTGAAACCATCCTGCTCCCAATGCCTCTGGGATGGCCCAGTCCCAGGAGGACGAGCTGACGCCTGCTCCTGTATTTCTGCTTCCAACAGGACCCTGCCTAAGAAATACTTTGAGCAGATCAGTGCAACCATCAGTGATTTCAGCATCCATGGGCTGATCATCATCGGGGGCTTTGAGGTGAGTCTGATGAGGCTGCAGTGAGTCTCTTCATGCCAGCTGCTGAGTCTCCTCTGGAGCAGGGCACAGCCTGTGGTCAGATTCACCAGGGCACTAAGGAACTTGGCTGCTGTTAACGGTGGTCTGATCTCTTCTGGGCCCCTTCCCTCCACCTCTTCTCAGCTCCTCAAGCTCAGGGACCTTCCCATCTTGCCATTGCCATGGGTAGGATTCCCACAGGCTCCACTCCCTCCTGCTCCCTAGTGCAGCTTCCAAGGTGCATCAGATCATAAAGCTCCTGGGCCCTCCAGTTCCTGGAGAGAACCCAGATGTGCTTGTGTGGGACATCTTCAAGGGAGCCTTGCCAAGGCAGCCTTTTGCCTTTAGGGGTGTGAGGACCTCCCAGAGGATCGCTGTTGCCCCAGCCCTAAGTTACAATAGAAATTGTCTTGGTTCTTTGTCTTGGGGTCAAAGAATCCCTTTCTGGTCCTGGCTGGGCTCGTGCAGCCCCTAGCACAGCCGGGTCCTAGTCCACACTGGAGCTCCTGACCACTGCAGCCTTGCTAAACACTAAGCCAGTGGCTCTCAACCAGGGTGCCACAAGAACCTGCCAAGGGTGCCATGACACTGCCACTGCCCGCTGCCGTTGCTGCAGGGTGAAAGTCCCCTGCATCCCTGCTTCTGGGAGATGCCGTGTAGGGTCAGACCAGCAAGGGCTGCACTCCTGCCACTGCTGGTTTGCACCCTGGCTTTGCAAGACACACGTAGTGCAGATCCACCTGGCCGTGGCAGCAGTGGCAGTGGGGTGAACGCAATTATAATGATTGAATCAATTAAGAGCATGATAATTAATAACAGACTTATATTCATATTATAATATTCATAAATTAGTTGGCAAAGAGAACACCACTACATTTTGAGACACTTTGGAGGGGGCCTTGAGTCTCAAAAGGTTCA